ATGGCGGGGAATCCCATCTCCGTCTACATCTGCGCCTGGCTTGCAGCATTCCCCGTGTAATTATACAAAGCGAAAAGTGAAAGGGGACTCGGAACCGGATCCAGGAGAAAGTGAAGGGGCAGCAACACAGGAAAGGAGCATGGCGGCCAGCCCGAGAGCCCACGCACAGGACACAATGCTCATGCAAGCGTGAGGTATGTCCTGAACACACTTACACACGCATACACATACCCATACTGCCCACGCATCCGCACAAGGGTAAAGGATCCCAGGAGCGCACCGATACACTGACACGCATTCAATTTTGCGCTCAATCACGCCGCTTAAACGGCAGCAATAACAACAACAACAGCAGCAAAAGGAGAAGCAACAACAATCTCCAGCAGACAGAATCGCCAGACAATAGTTTCCTGATTGTAAGGACAGCTTTAAGGAAATGACGAGCCAGAAGGATACAAGCACAGCTTGGCGCAAGATAATAGCAAATAGAATATATTTGCTTTAAACTTTGATAGCAGTTTTTAAAATATAATAAAATAGTATACAACTTAAATTAAATGTCAATAAATAAATCACATAATCTGTGTTAAAAAAAATTATTATATTATTTATACAATTTAGAAGAAGTTAAAAGATGTTTACAGCAAATAAAACTAACTAAAACAAATATCATACATTTATTCACAAATTCATCACCAAAAGAGCAAAGTTTCTATCTCCTTAATCAAAATATACATTTATTATTCCAACCTTAGGTAAACCTATTGAACTAACCACATCTGTGGCACCTCCCACACACACAGAGAGCTCTGTGAGATGTGAAGATTTTGAAGGGAAACTTGAAATTGATGAGAGAGCCAATTGACAGGACAAAGGCGAAATGCTTACGCGCAAAGCGTTTCCATATAAAACTTTCAAGGCAGCCGCAGCCGTAGGACGCTTTACAGCTTACCGCCAGTGGTGGTGCATCTTCGGGGAAAGCATGTGAAAATGAAAAGAAAAGTCTGGGGGGGACGGGCTACCCAGGAGATTTGTGCTAGTAATCGGCTTAAATGACGATTCAAGTGACTTCCACCCCGAGGGGATGGCCCCGTTGGGTGTTTCGAAACGGCAAGAAACGGGACACCTGTGGCAGAGAATTTTCCAGTGCCCTCCTGCCCCCCAACCTTTTTGAAGTTTTGTGAAATCACAGACGGGGGACCAAAACCGATTTTAATTGCAAAAATCGATGGCTCGTTTATCTGCCAGAAACCTTGAAAACCACAAGCGGCTTAAAAAGAATTTCCTAAAATTGCAGCCCCATGCAAAATACCGCTGCCTGTTGTCTCGAAATTTGATGTGGGAATCAGGAAGGGGGTTTAGAGCTGGGGAGATACTAACCATGACCTTGGGGCAGTTTACATTCATGCGCAAATATTGGCTCTCGCATAATTAATGCGCATTTGAAAGAAACCCGAGTCCAAGTAAACAACAATAGACTCTGGCGAAGACAAGGCAGGGAAATCAGTCACGAAGCCAAATTGTATTACCTTCAATTGCACTGATCAAATTCCCATTCAGGGATGACAAAGGAATTGTAGCCAAGGAAGAAATCAACTGTTTATTAAAATTATTGTTAAAATGACTATTAATATTTAGCTGTCAAAAGTGTCACTGTTTAACACGAATTACTGCACGTTAACAATTTATAAGAATTTTAAATGGCTTTAAATTGGTTTTTAAAATAATTAAATGCCACTTTAATCGGATAAGCTATGAACTATAATGAATATTTGACTTAAACAGCATACTTTTGTGACAAAACTAAACTCTTGGGTTGCACTAGATAACCCAAAAGAGGTCCTTGCTGCTGATTGGGTTAATATTGAGTTCCCTGACTAAATTTTGAGCTGATACTACCCAAGTTATACCCGGAAACATAGATTGTTGAATCTATAAGTATTCTTATACAATTTGTTTAAATCAAGTTCTCAAGACTACTTTAAGGCAGATCACTTTTGCCAATCTACAAATATTAAATGAAAATTGAAATAAAGTATATCAAATCAAAAATTATATAAATAACCACTTACTAAACATTTAATAAAATTAAAGATACTTTGAAAGAACCATATGAACTAGAAATAAGATAAGTCATATCTAAATAGTAAAGCGAAATTTAAATAAATGTACACTTAATTATAAATTTTTAAACACTTTCGAACAGCTTGGAAATATTATTTTGAAAAAGTGTTTTAATATAAATTATTCAGAAGTGGTGTAATATAATAAATTGAATTTGTGATGAATTTCTCCATTTCCAGTTTTATTAGAATTCACACATCATTCCCCATGCCCTTTTAGGTCAAGCATCAAACAGATTATTAAATTAGAAATCAACCGCAATTCCCTCGCCAAAAGGCGAATTTCTCAATAAAAACATTTTCCGCTGCACTTTAATTATTAAGAGAGAATGGGAGCGAGCGCGTGGACATAATTGTTTTCATTTATTTTTAAACTCGCGCAGGACCTTGTCAATTTAAACACCACCAAAGCAAACACAATTACACACACACACAGAGAGAGGAGGAGAAAGCGCCAAAAATAGCAAATAACAAATGCAGCACTTTCGAAAGCAAGTTTTTACAAAATTCTGAAATATTTAAATGTGCACGCCAAATAAAGTTGAAACTTAAACACAAACTACAAAGCCACTCCACTTTACGTTATGTTTCGGTTTCTGCCTTCTCGGCTGGAGTCTGTGGCAACTGGAGCAGCTGGAAAATTCGGAAAGGCGACCAAGGATGCGCGCGCGATGCTATCGAAGCGTCAGCGTTCAGACCCACAGATAGACTGGCTGCCTGGCTGGCTGGAGGACCAAAAGGACTCGCAACACCCAGCTGCCGAGACCTTCGGCTGTGCTTCGCTTCGATTTGAGTTCGAGTTCGAGTTTCCAGCTCGTGGGGCTTCGGTTTTTTTGGCTTTGGCTTTGGCTTTGGCTTTGAATAACCAGCAGCAGCAGCCCTGGCCTAGAAACGTGGAAGCTGGCCAACCGGGAAGGGGATTCGGGGTCTCGGTGCTCAGGTGGATGCTCAGCAGGGTGTCCTTTTTTTAATATTTCACAACATTTATTATTCGTACTTTTTTGTGGTGTCAATATATAAATTTCAAAACTCCCTTAGATTTTCATAGTATTTTTTAATTATTTAAACGTTAAGAGTTATTTTATTTTGGCTAAAAATACATTTTATGGATATATTTAAACGGTTAATACTGTTGCTAGTATTTCATTGAAGATTTTGTTAAAATTATTGAAGGTGTTCAACATTACTTTTGTATAGCATTACACTGTTTTTCATTTTCTATTAAATTGAATAGAAATTTGTAACATATTCCGATTAAAACTTTATATTTACTAACAAAAAGTAAGCTATGACACTCATAACCTAATTAAAAGTATCAGTGGCATTACAATTTTAAATATATTAAATTCCGAAAATTGAACGCAGTGACACACCCTGGTGTGTGTATATATAAACAATATGTGTCCGAAGTCGAGCACGCGCCAAGCTATGCAATTGGGGCAAAGGGGAAAGGCTGAATGGGGGGCGGACAGCATTCAAGGCAACTGTAAACCGTTGCACTTGAACTTCATTGGCGGCCATTGCGGTGGTAGTCTGTGTCTGTCTTTGTGTCTGCGGGTGCTCTGCGGCTGTGCCTGTGTGTGCGCGAGCTGAGTGAAAGTGAAAGGCAGCAACAGGTCGCGTGAGTGTGTGTGTGTGGACGAGAGAGTGTAACTGCTGCAAGCACAACCACCCACAGCAATCAATGTCAACAACGTGGAAAAGGTCGGACGCAGCCACGATTTATATTTACCAACAGGGGGGAGGGGGGAAAATCAATTTGGGGGATTTATTCCTGCCCGCCAAAAATAGAAAATCTCCGGCGATTACCCCAACAATATGTTGCCTATTTAGCGGGGCGAAACAAATGCACGACGCAAAAAGCTTAAAGTAACTCTAAAACTTTATATAATTTCAAATAGAGGCCTAAATAATTAATTATTTCGACAAGAGTTTTTAAGGAGAAGTATTAATTGATTAAAATAATTAAATCAAGATTAAAGATTTTTTAATGCCAAAACACTTACCAAACATTTTCAAAATTAGATTTATATCAAAGCAAATGGCAGGCAATTTAATCGGAAGTTTTCCGAAAATAACCTATAGTATTTCTCTCCATGTACTTGTATTACGAAAAGCAAGTAAGCAGCTGTTCCCCAATTACACACGCACATACAGCAGGCAGGCACACGCACACACACAGGCACAGTACATACATAAGCGAACCTATTCGAATGTGCGCTCTCAAATACAATTTTCAGGAGTCAGAAGGACACTGCAGGGGCGGGGTCAGGCGGGGGTCCAGGGGCGGGCTACTGTGCGGGTTTCATGCAGCAGGCAGCGCTACGGATTCACCCACAATCGCAGGACTCTCACCTACGCGAATTTCTAAATATATATAGCCCTTAATGTCGAACCTCGTATAACTCGAATCGCAAAAAATTAAGTTTTTCTGTAATTTTAATTATTTTTAAGGTAAAACTTACATGCCTGTTTTAATGTTTACGTTCAACGTGGCTTTACAAGACTAAGCTCCAACATATTCATAGTTGAAAAGTGGATTGTTTTCTTGTTAAGAAACAATGTTTCATTATCGGAAGTAATAGTAATTTTTCCCTTTATTTAATATTTATATTCGACGCCTTTTTTTTTAAATTTAATAGTTGGCAACAAAAGAATTATATTGACCAACAAGCTGTATTATTTAATTTTCTAGGAAATTAATGCATTTATTACCGTTCAGGTACATTTAACTTTTCAAACGAACTCATTAGAAACAAGAATTTAATTTTAATAGAAATTTAATTCAAAACTAAACCAGTTCCAGTTCGAGTTACAGAAGATTCGAAGCGACGGGCGATCAACTTATAGGGGATCGGCTGTATTTATAATACTCACCGTTAGTGCAATGCCCACTGTGGCAGAGAAGGAGCCCAGACGGAACTCGCCCGTGTTGTATTTGACCAGAAACGACGTCTTGCCCACTCCAGAGTCGCCCAGCAGGATCGTCTTGTGGTTGACAGTGTCGTCAAAGGGTTGCTGGTGAGCCGCTGGCGGTGCCTGGTGCATGTCTACCTCGTCATAGCGATACGATCGCCAGCCATCGTCGTAGTCATCGTAGTCCTCGTTGCCGTAAGCGTACATCTGCAGGGCTTCGCGTGACGGCCGATAGCCCGGATATCCGGTGGCCGAGCGCTGAACGGGCGCCATGATGGACTCGTCATGGTAGTGATGGCTTCCGGTCAGGCTCTGTTGGCTGTGGTGATGGTGATGCGGATTGTGGTGCTGCTGCGTCGTTGTTGTCGATACGGAGGCGGGGGCTGCCGGCGGGTTGTAGCAGCCATCGCCGAAGGGGCGGCGGCGTAGCTCTTCGATCCTGGCCTGGGTCGTCTCTGCATCCTCGAAGACATCGTCGCTCATGCTGCTAGCGTCATCGGGATGCGCCGTTCCTGACGCGGCGCCCGTTCCCGTTCCCCCACCCATTCCCGCCGCTGTGGTGGCCATTCTGCTGGCAAGGCGTATGTCTTGGCCAAAAGCCCTGGGTCGAGCTTTTATCCTGAGCTTGTGTGGTTTCAGACTATCCTTAAGGCTTTTACATTTGTCTAGGGGCTAAGAGACTGGTTGCGCTTTTACCTTATACTTTCTTCTCATCTACATATATTATATTATATTCCTTCTCGAAACCCAAAAATCTTGTATAATTACACTCAAATTCTTCACACTTTCTTTGACTTTTGGATCGAGAGCTGCGCGTAAACTTTTATCCTGCGGGCTTCCGATTTATATTAAGAGAGAATGATAACCTTTACGTCTAAGCTTTTAGTTTTTTTCACGTTAGTTTCGAATTTTTAAGATTCACTCATGATTTAAACGATGGTTTGGAGATTTGTTGAGTTTTAGTATTTGCAGAGTTACAGAGTTTTTAAATCTACCGCCACAAGGAAGGCAGCTTTTCGTTGACAGTTGTGACAGTTGTTTTGAGCTTTTGGTTGCCTTCTCTCTCCAACTTTCTCCGATGTTTCTCACTCTCTCTATTTTGCTCTCTTTATGACTTTGACATTTACCGTTGCCTTCGCTGCCTCTGCCTGCGCCAACGTCGCTGCCGTCCGGTTGTGTAGCACGTTTTCTGAATGAACTCGCTTTTCGGGGCTTTCGGCGCGGTTTGGGGGCGGTTGCTATTATTATTTCCTATCCTCTATTCGCAATAAGCTTAATATTTGGCCAGCCTTATCAGTTGGCCTGCTTCTCTAATCGTTATTCGTTAGTTTTGCCTTTCAGCTCCAGTGCCGTCGAACTTGGTATTGGTTTTTTCCCTTCTGGGTTGTTGTTTTCTTGGTGTTTTGTTTAAAGCCACTAATTAATCGTTATCTACGTAAATTGTAACTAGCTAAACATATTGACTAAGACTTTATAGGTTATGCGCTAATTGGTGCTGTTTTCACTATACATTAAGATTTTATTTATTTATAAATATGGCATGCAATGGGTTTGCTTGGTGTTTTCCCTTTTTATTTTTTGTTATTTGGTTAAAGCTTTTGGTTGATTTCCCGTTCTACTTCGCGTTTAATGTATTAACTTTTCATTTGTGGCTTATGGGTCTCTCGACGAAAATATTGCGTTTGATTTTGTAGGTTTGCAGTGTGTGTTCTTGGTGTCGTTCCTGTTGTTGTTGTTGGTGTTTTTCTTGGTATTTCACTATCACAGCATAAATAAAATAATGTCATCGTACTTGCCGCCCCCGCCACGCGAACCCTCGGCCAACTGGTAAAAAATATCTGCAGTCGCCACTTCCTTTCGACATCCTTTACTCTGAGCTTTCAATGAGGCTCTCTCGTGCTTTTTTTTATTTCTTTCTCTTTCATCCTCTCTCTCTCTCTCTTTTAATGGCTTTGACATATGAAGAGTCCTCGGCAGGAACTAGTTCATTTTATTAACAAGGAAACCACATAAAGTGACAGTTCCAGTTTGTAAATTTACAAAATTATTCATATAATTACATAATAATAAATAAACCATAAAAATAATTAAAATAATTTCTATTGTACATTAAATTTGTAAATCATTCCTTTCCTTTTGAACACTTTTTTTCATACCTATATCCGGTGTTTTGCGGCTCGCTGTGATCGGCCGTTACTGGTCATCATGACTCCAAGCTGATGGATGAAATACCTGCTATTTAATGCCTCTTTTGTATGCTTCACGGCATCATTTTTTATTTCTAATTTCCGGTTACGATTTGAAAATGGTACTGTGCCCGCGACTTCATCCGCTTATAATGTACCTGGGCACACTAAAATATTCTTGAGACCGAAAAATCTGCAGAACCGTCTCTATTTTCAGAGGTCTGACAACGCGGTGGCACTGTTCTACGTGAGAACTATCGTGTTACCTAAATATATCGATGTCACTATCAAACCACCACTAACAAAACGCGAAACAGAAACAAAATTGTAAAAAATTGAAAATTGCGAATAATACAAATAATCGAGTCATAAATAACGCGAATTAATTAAAAATGACTGGACGCGGCAAGGGCGGCAAGGGGAAGGTGGTGCGCGAGAATGTGCAGGACGATCGGGACGATTTCCTGGTGTACGCGGCGGAGAAAATAATCCAGAAGCGCGTTAGAAAGGTGAGAACTCGTAAACAAATGCGTGGAAAGCAGCGAAAATGGAAAAGCCCGAATGCAGGACGCAGTTCGCGCAGCACACAGAATATGCAATATATGCGATCGAAGCAGCACAAGGTCACATGTCCTTCGACATTTTTGGGCAGAGGACATCTGCTGCAGCAACCACCATTTGCACGCTGCATGTTTGCGAGTGTGCGTGTGGTTGTGTGTGAGGAGTGCGTGCGCGAGTGTGTTGGTGTCTGTGTGGAGAGGCTTCGAGATGTTTTTGTTGCGCTTCGATGATGGAAAATCAATTAATTGTTGTCTCCTGGCATTTGCACTCTCAATTTTCGTTTTCAGGGCACCGTGGAGTACCGCGTGAAGTGGAAGGGCTGGAACCAGCGCTACAACACCTGGGAGCCTGAAGTGAACATTCTTGACCGCCGCCTGATCGACATCTACGAGCAGAGCAACAAATCGGCGGGCACACCCTCAAAGCGCGGTTTGAAGAAGAAGGAGAAGGAGCCCGATCCGGAGCCGGAGCAGGAATCCGAGGAGGACGAGTATACCTTTACCGGCGACGATGTGGACACCAACCTGGCCACCACATCGGCGGCCGGCGGTCCGATCCACGATCCAGAGGCGAAGAAGGAGAAGGAAAAGAAGCACCACCACCAGCATCATCACCACCATCACCACATCAAGTCCGAACGTGGTGGAGGCCGACGTTCCGAGTCACCGCTGTCGCATCATCACCATCACCATCATCACGAGTCAAAGAGGCAGCGTATGGAGCACAGTTCCTCCTCGAACAGCAGCTCCACACACAACTCTTTCGTCCCAGAGGCCGACACCAACTCGTCCAGTTCCGAGGATCAGCCGCTGATCGGCACCAAGCGCAAGGCCGAGGTTCTCAAAGAGTCAGGTAAGATTGGTGTGACAATCAAGACCTCGCCGGACGGACCCGTCGCCAAGCCTCAGCCGCCGCAGCAGCACCAGCAAGGGCCACTGGAGCAGCTGCAATCTGCGATCACCGATCATCAGCAGGCAGAGAAAATAGCCAGCGATGCAGCCACTCCTCTAAAATCGGAGGTGCAGGGCACCACGCAACAGGACAGTGAGGCCATCTGCACGCCAGCTGAGCCTGTCGCCGAGGAGGAGGAGACGGTAGCCGGCGAGAGCACACACCAACAGCCCCCGCAGGAGAACAACAATATACCAAAACCGTGCAACAACCAGCAGAGCCTGACCATCAACCAGAAACAGCCGCTTACACCTCTATCGCCGCGTGCTCTGCCGCCGCGCTTCTGGCTGCCGGCCAAGTGCAACATATCCAACCGCGTGGTGATAACCGATGTCACCGTCAACCTGGAGACCGTCACCATTCGCGAGTGCAAGACAGAGCGGGGATTCTTTCGTGAGCGCGACATGAAGGGCGACTCTTCGCCAGTGGCTTGAGCTCCGGCCCAAATGAAGCGGAAGCCTGAAACAATTGTAAATAGAGAAACCAAAATTGAAATGGAGGAGGCGTTGAGAGATGAGGCACTAACAAATCCGCACTAAACGTTGCTAAGCATTTTCTCCTTAGGACGTAACTTATTTATTGTATTTATTTTTAGCGTAGTTATTAGTTTGTTTGATTAGCTATTAGTATTGTTTTACTACAATGTTTACCTTGCAATTGGTGTCTTGAGCAAGTGCAATAGTTCATTTACCGAAAGGCTGACAGTTTACACTAAATTAATTATCGGTAAATTATTAATCACGTAGACTTTTAGTATTCCCAAATAAGATCTAAATAACAAGTGCAAATATTTTTTGATTCAATCTTTCCTGAAATATCGCATAAAGCTGTCTTTTTGTAAATGAACGCTCTTGCGGCTGCTCAACGTGCCAGTGCAATAGATTGTATATTCTGCGGCATAGAATAGGTATGGCCAAAGTCCTTATAATAATAAGATGCATAACGCCCGTTTCTTGGCAGTTACAAGTTTGACAAATTGTATGGCGCTACTTGTCTTGTAAATATAAGGACCTTGGAATGGCGTACATACGAGTATATATATATATTTATTTACACACATATATTGTATGTATATTTTTCTACAACACTTTGAATCTGATTGAGGACAACACGAGACACTCATACGCTACAAAATCGAACTCTATGCAAAACCGAAGCAATTGTTGATTACGCTTGATATATACAATTATACACAAACCGATGCATATATATATATTATTCATAGATTCTCGAGTATCCCAATGTTGTATTTGTTTATTATTACATATATTTCCCCGCGCCGACTGATTTTACAAAAAACGAAACCCCAAAAAGATATATATTGTAGCTTGATAACTATTTTTAGAATTTAGCTAACCAAAATCTCCACTTAATATTTATTTTATATTCCAAGCAGTCGTCCCGGGCTGCCCAAGTGCTGTCTAGATGGGTGCTGAGCGCGTGCAGTGAACGGATACGAAATTCCAAAGCCATAACCCATCGATTCACCACTTGGTTTCATTATTATTGTATTTTGCATACCGCTTAATCCCATGAAAACTGCGTGGGAGCTTTGGGGAATTTACAAATTTTTGTTTATTTCGCATAGTTCCTGTGAGTCAGACTCCGTATCGTGTTAGCTAATTATTGGCTAGTTTTTAGTTGCGGCGCTAATTCCACACAAGAAACAACGCAAAGGACGTTCTGTAATTAAGTCTACAACTTTAATGTTATTGCCGGTATATCGATTGTAAATAATAAATTAAATAGAAGCAACCAAAATCATCCTTTTCTATTTTCTACTGCTGTGATAATATCGTTAGAATATCTGTGTCAAGGGGGAACTAACCATTAGAATTAAGGATAAGGGCTACCAAACAACTATTTTGTACACTTTTTAGATGTCCAGATCCACGCCAGGCCGGTCTCATAAGGGTCGGTACTTGTTGATGAACGAGTTGATGATGGGCGCAACCTTTTCCGGCTCGTTGAGGTGGACGTGATGCGAGCCCTCCACCTCATGGTATTCGAAGAGGGGATTGTTCTGCAGTTCGGCCAACGTCGCATCGTAGTACTCCTTGCGTTCATAGTACGGCGCCTGCATGGCCTTGATGAACAGATGCGGGCATTTGATCCGCCGCGCCATCTCCAGCGGAACCTCGTGATGCAGCGTGTAGAAGAGCGAGGACTTGAGTCGGTTGTCGCGCGAGAAGTAATACTTGTGCGGCTCGTGGGTCGATGGCTTACAGTTTCGCTGCAGCAGGTACTTGCAGGACTCTAGCGACACGGATTTATTGGAGCCCTCGTGCAGTCGGTTCACCAACTCGTCCCACTCGTACGCTGGAGGCTCTGAGCCGCTCTTTAGCCTCCGTTCCAGCTTTAAGGTGGCCTCTAGTCGCTCGGCCAGCCCATCGACAATCTGGCGCGCACTCCGTATCGGCGGCTTCAGCACGTCAATGCCCACGAACAGATCGACTTTGTCTGGAAACAAGGCGCTGAACACGAATCCGTTAATGGAGCTCATCGAGTGACCCATTATGGATATCTTGTCCCAGTTGTAGTCGTCCATCAGCCGGCGAACAATTAGCACCAGATCAATGGAGTGATAGGAAGTACCGGCCGGCAGCCATGACGACAGGCCGTGACCGGGGGCATCGATGCTCAGGAAGGACAGATGCGAAGGCAGCAGGGGAGCCAGGGTGTCGAAGGTCCCGGCGTTATCCTGCCACCCGTGCATGCCCACAATAGGCCGCACATGCTTGGGGCCGTACCACTTGCCAGCGAGCTTTCCCCAGGGCACTGGTATAGAGATTTCCTCATACTAAAATTGAATGTCATCATGATAACGGGGATGGAAAGTATGCGAAATAACTTGGATACCTACGTGTTTGGTCAGGATCTTGAGGGACTTGGTCGATCCACTACTCGAGTGCCGGACATTCTGGACACTGGGATGCTTTATCAGCAGGCGTAGACTTCGGTGCACCCTCATTTTAAGGCCGCGATTTGTGTTGAGTAATATGGCACGTTGTTCCGCCGCGGACGGTTGACGGTGATCTTCTGCCCTGTGATTTCACCACTCGTAAATGGGGATGAGGCTTTGTCAGATGAACTTTGATCACCTTGGCCTTGGTCAGTTTCTTACACGAAAATCTAAATCTCTTTTTTTTTGTTTTTGTTTTGCTTTTTGAATTTAGAAGTCATAGTAGAGATGGAAAAAAGTCGATAAGTAATCGGTTATAATTTATTTTATTTTCTTTAATATTCTCTTTTCAGGTGGGGGTTGAACGCGTTCTAACTTTCTTCTAAATAAACAATTTAGGTGTTCTCCAGCGACTAAACATATTATTTTTTTTAAGAAATTGACATTTTCCACAATATATATTTTTAAGCGACCGCGATACCCCTCAATCGATGAATCGATCTTTGTATCGATGATTCTGCACCTCTAAACAATATATATAAATAAAAATTTCACAAAATAAATGAATGTATTATTTAAATAACAATTTCATTGGTAAATTAAATTAACTCAACTCACTCAAATAAACCACGAAGTAATTATATTTCCGCTTAATTTGAACTTTGCAGCCCTGTATAAAAGTTGCCGCCCATTTGCGAGTTCTATAAACAGCTGTTGATTTATCATTTTATACGTGATTTTGTACCTGTCAGGTGAATATTTATATTAAGCTTGGTTGGGAAATCACATCCCAATCGGGACACAACCTCTATCAGTTGCCGATCAAAGCCATGGAGACCAGGAAACGTGAGTTACGATTCGCCATAGCCGCCAAGGAGGCCAAGCCAGGGCACCTTGACCTTTAAACTTTCAATGCGAATCCGGCACCGATTTGGATTCGATTTAGCCGATTTTTGGCCTTTTGCTATTTCTCTCCTTTGTTTACTTTCTGATTTTCTCGCTGTTTGCATTTTGTTAACTAATCGCACGGCTAATCTCGTCGCTCAGAGCTCTGGGTGCCACTGATAAGCCCCGAAAATGGTGTAAACTTTGGAATGGAAGCTCATTCTGTTTTTGGACATTCGTTTCAGCGGGCGGCACCATGGACTCGGACGACAACTCAAGTGGGACCATCGGAAGCGATCTCGGCCAGCGTTATCGTCATGCGGGCGACTTGTCCGGAGAGCCGCCAACCAGGCCAGTAAGTGAACTTTGATCCGCTTCGTTGCACATTTTTCACCCCCTCGCAGGGGCTATTTTTACTTATTTCTAAACAATTTTTCAAAGCACTTACAGCATAACAGGTGAACTTATTCAAATGGAAACACTCAAACTCCCTTAAAAATATATAGAAAGGAATGTAGAAATAGACACAACAGAGAATCTTCAAAGCTTCTTGGCAAACTAGTATCATAAAAGCGCGTTCCGGTTTTCACTTTCGAACAATTTGCTCAAATTCGTAAGGCACTTAAGTTCACCTTTCGCAAAAGGAGGGGTCGTAAAACTAATCACATTTACATAAGCATAAAACTATTATAATATAAAAAACCACACAAACGATACGAAATATATACATAATAATACATCTAAGGGACTTTGAATATACATACATATATACAATAGATAACAATATTTTGTCCTACTTTCAGTTTGCGGAAATCAGCATCACTGTTCCATGGGGACATATATCGGGCAAATGGTACGGACCACAGAATGTCCAGCCGATTCTGGGTCTGCACGGTTGGCAGGATAACGCTGGTACCTACGATCGCCTGATGCCGCTGCTCTCGCCAGAGGTGGCTTTCCTCTCGATCGATCTGCCGGGCCATGGATTGTCCTCTCGTCTCCCCGACGGCTGCTACTACAACTCGGTGGACAATCTGTATGTTATCCGGCTGATCATGAAGCAGTACAAATGGGAGAAAGTGTCCTTGGTGGGCCATTCCATGTCGTCCATAATTTGCTTTGTGTTCGCCGCCGTCTTTCCGGACAAGGTGGACATGATCATTGGTATAGATGCCCTGAAACCGCACCAGCGTCCATACCCCTCGGTCATACGGACCATGGAGACGCGTTTGGATGAGTTCCTCCGTGAGGACGAACGGAACCGAAGCAAAAACGAGCCACCGAGCTATACCTATGACGAACTGATCGAACGGGTGTACATAGGGACCTTTCACTCGGTGAACAAGGAGCACTGCAAACATTTGATGGCGCGCAACATCGGCAAGTCGGAGAAGTATCCGGACAAGTACTTCTTCTGTCGCGACCGGCGCCTCAAGTTCTACAACTATGCTATTGGCTCCCAGGAGCTGTGCGTGGAGATGGCCAATCGCATCACTTGTCCCTACTTGTTCATCAAGGCCGCCCAGTCCTCGTATTTCGAGGACAAGAAATACTACGACGAGGTGCTGGACGTGCTGGTAAAGAAGCCTAACTTCGAGTATCTGGAGGTTAATGGCTCGCACCATGTGCACATGAACGATCCGGAGGCCATTATTGGGCCGGTCAACAACTTCATTCAACGTTTCGGGCCGGCGGCAGCGGCTGCCTTACGCCAGAAGGCCAAGGAGGCGAAGGAGAGCAAGCTCTAGAGGCTCCAAAAATACGACCAAACGGGTAAAATGGGGCTTATTTATTAATGCACAGGTTTTTATACTTAATTGTTGATTATGTGATCGTCGCAGAGGACTCGTCTCTGCTATAAATACAAAATGTACATATTCCGAATGGTTGTTCGACTCCGATTCACGGGGAAGTCTTAAAGGATGTGAGGGAACTGGTTATGCGTGAAGAGCTTAACCCCAATGTATATTCAGTTTATGAAATTGTTTGCTAGATAAATTTGAAGTTTAAGGTCAACTTGGGAAATATCAGAATTTGAAATGAATTGAAAGGTTTTTACAAAACTAGCTCTTCTTTTGAACCTCTAAATATCTATAATTAACTGATTAAAATCACTGTTTTTTTCATATATTTTATGCTCTTGCATTTAATTTGATTTTTTTTTTTTTTTAGTTTCACAAAAGCACTCAAAATGTTGATAATTAGGTTAGCAAAACAATGACTTTATCTCCCATGTACCCCATAAGATATCTTAAAGTTCAATGGAATAAAGTTCGACTGTAAAACAGTTGTACTTTTCGGCAAAAAACATTTGTTTTACAGCCGCCGGCAGCGGCAGCTGACCTACATCTTGACCAAGTAGAATCCCATGCAGCGAAAGTGTTAATAACCCGCAAACCAGTTTTCCCAAATCCCAGCCGGCGCGGCGGCTGTTGCATCATTTTCTAGACGCTTTCTTGGCAACAGCGTCGGCCATGGAGGTCACCCTCAGCTGTTGGATTTACATGGAAATGGTGCTTTAAACTATATACATATATGTTTTTAAAAATAACTGATCTGAGGCAACGTGGAAAAAGAAGCCAAGTAAGTTGATGGCCCTGTGGCCTCCACATTTGTGTGTGCATACATGGTTCGCTTCATCTTCTTCTCTTTTGCCTCGGTCAGTTCCTGAGTCTGGTTTGCAGAATGATAAACGATCTTGGACAGCCTCTTAATTTGTCTTAAATTGGTTACCAATTTAATATGCGAGAAGTATTGATTTAATTTAGAAAAAACACACCTTTAAAGATATGGCTTTAGTTCCTGAATGAGATATAGCTTTAAATGAATGAATCGAAACTAGAAGCATGTTTTTTGACACATCAACTTTTGGAAAATTTACCTCTGACTTCATATTAAAATGAAGCTCTAGTTAACAGCTCCTACATATGTGTGACACGTTAAAATAAACAATAATATATTAAAATATAAGACAATTTATATGCAATTTGGGACTGAAAATTATGAATTCGAATGAGGCGGCTAAACTTTCAAGTTTTTTGTTTATCTAGTACACCGATTTCCATAATGAAGACAACATTAGCTCGGTTCATATGATCAGCATGGCTGTGGATATATTTGATGGAATTTTACAAAGTATTTTTTTTACTTTTTTTGTAGTGGATTTATGTACAGACTTGTTACAACTAGATATAACTCATTTTTAGCCACAAGAGCACTGACTAGGCCTTAAATGGGGTATGGGTATCCAATTTGGGCTTACTGCTGCGGGGGATGAGCGGCGATGTACTCCAGGGCGCGGAGGATGGCCTCCGGAATTGGGGGAGGAGTGGGCAGATGAGCGCCCTGCGGCTGGAAGCCGTTCTCGTCGGCGACATAGGTGAGCGAGATCGGGATGCCTTCGGGTGACACGTAGTTCGTGCTGCCACTTACACCATTTGCATTTCCAGCCTCCTGGGCCTGGATGCCGTTGCTCGTCTCAAAGGCGAAATTGTAGTTGCCCTCACTATCGGCCGGGTTAGAATCCTCGCGGGTGGTCACGGCATCTTTGTTGATGTTATCCGCATAGACGGTGGCCAGCATCAGGGCGGCGAACAGGCAGAGCGTCTGAAATGGGCACTCAATCATGACCTGGATCCTTCCGAGCGCCAAAGGCGCATCATACTCACAAGCTTGAACATCTTGCTGATTTCTGGGGTTGTATAATCCACACTGGTTGGGTGATCTTCGGAGGCGGTAGCTTTTATAGCCAGCATCCAATCTCCGGCGGCGCTGCCAGCGCCTGCGCCAACGTTGGCGTTGGCGTCTCCATAGCCGTCGCCATCGCTGACGTCTCTAATCTGGCTCTGAACTCCAAACTAAATATCAAACTTAATATGTTTGTGTGTTTTTTATTTTTTTTTTTCGGCAAGAGCAGCATACCGATCGAATTAAATAAAATTCAGCGCATATGCAGTAAAAATTAAAACTAGAAAGGGGGTCTAGAAGTAGGGACAGGAACTTGAAAATACCCTTGCCAGATTATAAGCAATAGTCCGAATTTTCCAGATGATATGATGTATTAATGATGGATTAGAAATCGAAAGCAAAGTCTAGTTTTGGGGATTACCTTTGCCAGATAATACATTATAATAATCAAGTATTTCCAAGAATATGTTTTTTTAACTAGAATATTAATATTTCAATATATGAATTTACAAATTAGACAGTTACATTTATTGTGTTTTAAATACTACAAAGAATTCATCATTGTTTTCTATTTTTAAGATCAATTGTCCTACAAACTACCGTTATATCATGTAAGGAATCTTAGTTAAAAGAAGTTATCTTTCAGGAGTGCAATACATAAAACAATTAGTAATCAATATTTTAAACCGTTTTTATTTGAAATATTGTGTTTTACAAATTGGGAGAAAGTAATAGTAATAATGATAGAGCATTTTGTCAACTCAAAGTTAAAGTTAAAATAACCTTATGAAGGGTATAATGGAGCGCTTGAACCCATTTCGAATGACTGGCGCTGATGGATCCACATCTGCCACATTGGTAGCGGTAATCACCGAGCCGACTTTGCACTTAATGGCTTATAGCTTCGGTTAGCTTTTTGGGGTTTTGGGTGTTTGGGTTTTCTCGATGGTGGTAATGGCACATGTGACATTCAAGGGGTTACTTCGGAGACGGGCCTGGATTTGGAAGGGGCCAGCCACTCGTGCCGAATAAATTTAAATCAGTCCAATTTATCATCCGTTTTCAATTTCGATTTCGGTTTCATTTGGTCGCTTGGCTGGGGATGAGCGCGCAGGCGGAGAACCTGTTTGCTCATCAAGGAATTCTTGATTCCCCCTCAAAGATCTCAGCGAGTTCACCGCATTAGCATACAAATTTGTTTGCCAGTAATAAATTACAGGTCGCTAGGCCTAAACGCACTTAGCACTCCAGCTAATAAAATGCCCATCAATCGCCGCCCCACCTGATCTGGCAAACTAGTTCAGCCCGCCAAAAGTCTATCTCTATCTCCGCCATCCGATCCGATCCAATCCCTAACCACATTCTATGACGTCTCTGATAGATGACAACCACATTCTAAAATTTAAATTTAAAAAATAAGCAAAAAATAAAAGAGGAGTTGAACTCAACAGATTATTTCGGCATCTGCCTACGATTGTAGTATCTCTGTAGATGCATTCCCGAAATAACACGTCCAATTATTCAGATATTCTATAACGGTGTGCGAACCACTTTTTAATCAATATTTGCATATGGTTTTATTTGTTTTTAAACATGCAAATACCCGTTGAAACCAGACCGAACTTGTTTCCATTTACGGCTGCAGCTTGGCCTGCATGGGCCGTGGACTAAACATAAGTTGTACTGAAAGTTTTCGGATAAAATGCATCCACTCGATAGATCACTCCTAAACTATATCCATCGGCCAGGATAAATACAAAATATTCTTAACAAGAAAGCAGTGAGGCAGCAAGGAAATCAAGAGGCATTCTATGAGGAAAAACCTTACATCCTACCTTCTTCGGCACTTTACCTGTGCCAAAATTATAGTATACACTAAATCTGGGGAAAAAAAAGTCAAAGAACAATAATATAAATAAAGCCTACTGGCCAAGGTGTCAACCAGATTTAATTGCTAGCCGGAGCAAGTCAAGAATTTGGGGCTTAACAAACACTTCCTTGTTGACCAAAATGATTCTCGACTATTAACACCGATTTCGGAAGATGTTTGCTACGCTAATTTTGCAACAAAATAGCTAAATATATAAATTTGTTCAATCTTATCGCTTGGTCCATGACAATTAATCAATTCGCCGGACATCAAAGTAAACAATTAATTAAAGTCATAAATGTAGGGTATCAGAAGATCACATTGCACTCGTTTCTCGGACGATCATCGGCGGCGCTCCGGGTGACATGCTGCCAGGTGAACTGACCTTGCCCATCTCGATCTTCATCGAGATGATTTCAACAACCTTCCAGGGGCAGTGCGCACCTGTCAGCTCCAATCCACACTCCACACTCTACACTCCATGGAAGCCCCATCGAGCCCAGGGCGCATCTCCAATTGAAAGTTGTAACAAGAAATCTCACGGGGAATTTCCAGCGGTTTGTGAATGAGCCGAATCCAAAGCCAAAGGTAAAGCTGAAGGCGAGACGGCATTAAAGATCAATTTTTATTTGTACGCAATTTAGCATTTACTTTTAGTGGAATCCGAAACAGAAACCGAAACTGAAACCGAATTAAAGCATACAATATAAATTGTTGGCAAATGACTCATGTGTTTCAGCCATAGTTCGGCTAAGCATTGTTGTTATTGTTCCCCATTATTGGCGGTATGATAATACAAGTTTTTGGCAATTATTGCCGCCCGAAGTGCGGGGTCCTCGGGTTCCGAAAACCCGTTCGAGTGCCGCCTGTAACTGAAGCCACAAGGGTCTCTCTCGGTCTCATCCATATAAAAGACGCACTTGAGCTGATCGAATTAAACAGTTGCACTGCAAGCAGCGCCATCACAGCACCACCATCTTCTCAATCAAAACTCTCCAACGCAACCCAACTGCCAAGATGTACAAATATGTGAGTATTGCAGCCGAGATGTCACCGGATGTCATCTGACCACCGTCTCTCTCTATCAAAGCTGTTCTGCCTGGCTCTGATCGGCTGCGCCTGCGCCGATAATATTAACAAGGACGCCCAGATCCGAAGCTTCCAGAACGAGGCCAGCGACGCGGAGGGAAATTACCAGTACGCCTATGAGACCAGCAATGGCATCCAGTTCCAGGAGGCAGGCAATGCCAATGGGGCGCGCGGTGCCCTTGCCTATGTGTCGCCCGAAGGAGAACACATCTCGCTGAGTTATACCGCCGACGAGTCTGGCTTCCACCCGGTGGGAGATCACCTTCCCACACCGCCTCCAGTGCCAGCCTACGTTCTGCGCGCCCTGGAATACATTCGCACCCATCCTCCATCGCCCGCACAGAAGGATCAACAGTAAACGGGAGTAGCAGCACCACCATCACCACAAATCCTTAACCAGTCATTGTTATTTAGAGATCTACATCGCACTAGGAGTTATCGTTAATAAAGAGCGAGATGCAGTAAAAGAAGTTTATAAGTGTATATAGTATTGGAGGAATTGGCTCAAATCGTAGATAGATCCTATCAGTTGGAAGGCCAGCATTAAAATTATTTGCCATTGTGGTTACGTTTAATCAAAATTAATAAGTTTTAAGCTTGTACTGATTCCTTTCTCACAGAATTGGGTCATTTAATGAGAGTCAAGGAAAACCAAAATAAACCACTGCCAAAAGGGCACTGTCCAAATATTGTACCCCATTAAATTGGTTAGAGGTTATATTAATTATATTCAATGTTACATCAATATTGTTAATTACTGTATGCCAAAAAGTTCCTTAAGCTCCGACACTGTAACTGAATCCGCTTGCTTGAATTTCCATAATTTTACGAAAGCACACATCAAAGGTCTGGGATTTTTTATGAACGGAATGCAACCCTTCATAACCTAAAAAATATAGACACATACGTTAATAACATAGTTAGGATAAATAATATTTATGAGTATTCAAGTAATCTCACCTCGAGTAGGATCTCGTCAAAGTTGCCATATTTTGAGCACAAAAATGCATTTGTTGTTATGTTATGCATTTTTTCGACTGTTAAAGATTCATCCAAATGGAACTGTAGCAACAATATATTAATCTCGTTTACCATTTTTGAAATATTCGTTGACATTGCTTTAAAAATCGATTTTTCAGTTAGGTGAAAAAATTCAAACAATAAATGGTAACTTGGAGATTCTTGTGAGAAAGTAAAACTTATATTAAAGTTATACAAAATTGAAGGCGCTTCCTGCGCTTCGTTTTCCTTGACAACGATTCTTAAATATTGCTTTCCTTCCAACTCAAAATACTCAGGTGTGAGGTAGTTGTATCTCTTGCCACTTTTACAATCGACCTTGCCCAGTTTTTCGATAGATTGCTTCATATCCAAGTAAAACAATTTGGTTAGCTTGATGCCATTGACATATCCATTCTCGACTGCTGCATGGTTAGCCGACGATTTAAGCTTAAATTGATGGGGCTTAACTAGCTCGGGCTCTATCTTAAATGGCATATTGATGCAAAGAAAGGGTATCCATATTTTGTAAATATCCTTTAAAAGGTAAGTGCCTGTAAATGCAAAATTTGAGAATGCTTTAAATTTAAAATACATAAATGTTTGTTACTCAAGTGAGAACCAGAGTGTAAAAAACAACTTTTAAACGTCTATTAGCAACTGAAGTTTTGCTTATAAATGTAATATGCTTTTCCAAAAGAATTGCGACTTACACGTGTCTTCCCAGTCACTCACTGTTTCCTTAAAAATGGAATCCATATTAATTAGTTCCTGGTTGATCTTCTCGGATATTTCAACTGCGTCCTGAACATATTGTTTATGCTCAGGCTTTGGGGGTGTGGCTAGACCTCCTGAAAGAATTTTCAGCGCTTCGTTCAATTTAAGCGACATTTGTCCTCCTGATTTTTTACACGTGAATCCCAAAAATGAACTTTCGAGATGGACTTCTAAATGTCTATCGAAGTGTCATTACAATATCGATAGCAAAGCTTTAAAATGCTGGGAACGACGAAAATGGAACGACCCAAAACAGTAGCAATACTGGCAGCAATCTTTATTTGCCGATATTTTTGGAAATCTGATATTATATATATATTTCTATATATATTAATTTTTCATATGTATATTCTATGAGTAATAGATTTATATCAATCGGATAATGAACCCTAAGGGAGTAGCTGAACAATAAATTTGCAATCAACCATGTGGGTGAACATCGAAGCAATATGCTCTAAGTTTCGTCAAAGTAAGAATCTAAATATAATTTAAAGCTAAAAATATTAACCCAATGAAAGGATCCTAAATCCAATATAGTTATTTATGTGATCTCTTGTCATACATAGTTCAGTAAACCCAAGTTTATATTGTCTATTAACATTTAAATTAGACCATTAAGGAAGAAAAACATCAATGGAAATACCGGTAATTTATTAGTCGGGAATTCGTGGCTATTTTCTGCCAAATTTTTAGCCACTTTACCGGTATCCAGCTAAATGTATTAAGTTGTTCGAGATATGACCAACAGTGAGTCTCAATCGATTAATACGTTAATTAATGAAGTGGGTCACTTTGTCTTTTGTTAGCTGTCTGAAAAAATAAAAGAAACACATGTTTAACAAACCATGTATACTTTTAGGCTACCGAAGAAGAAAAACACGAAATGGTTGAACAAATGTTTTAGCAAATTAGCATGGTTTAATTGGTGGTTCGCTTAAAAAATATGTGTGAGTCGCATTTAAAGTCGAGCCAGCCGAACTTTTTCTTTTCGAAACTTTGCAAATGCTCCCCGGCGCTTTTGTTTGGGAGATAGAAATTTCCGTATATATTATTAAGTCATCGAATCGCGGATCATTTCCATCCAGTTTTCAATCGATTTCAAATTTCCATATCTGAGAATAGACGTAAATATTAATCAGACGACAGGCAGAGACGGAGACAAATAAAGCTGTTTGCAGTTAATGGGATAACAAGATAGAATTCGTTGGGGTCAATCGCGCGGAGTCTGTGTTTGGGCGTGCCTTTGTTTGCTCTCTATGGTCGCAGATACCATAAATTCACGCCACGGAAGAATCTACGGATGGATGGATGAGTTGATTTATGGCCGAGGCAGAACAGCCACCGCCTCAAGGTCCAGAGCCTTTCAAAAATAATGGGTAAAGACATTTGCGCAGTTTTTGGAGCTTACAACAACTAGCAACGATCTTGGCTTAAGATTAGCTTAGATTGGGGGGTAATGTCTTAGTTAGTTGGCGATTAGTACGTGCTATGGGTATGGTCAGCCTTCTTCTTGGACACTTGCATCCAATTCGATGAGGATATGTGGATTGAAGTCGCTCTCGCGCCGCCAGGAACTTCAAAAAACGTGCGGCTTCAGCTTGCCGTCTTCCGTGTGGGTGCGAATGTACTCCAAGGATCGCAGGATATAGTCCGGCGTGGGCGGGGGTTGCGGCAGATGGCGGCCAACCACATGGAAGCCCAGCTCGTCGGCGATGTAACGCGTCTCGATGGGCACGCCCTCGGGCGAGGTGTAGCTGTAGATGCCAATCGTCTCCAGGGCATTTCCCGCCGCCTGGACATCGATGCCGTTGCTCGTCTTGAAGGCGTATTTAAACACACCCTCGTCGTCTAATGGTGACACCCGGAAGTCCGTGATCTGGGCATCGTGCTCGTCGGCTCCAACCAATCTACGAATGCGGCGAATCCTCACCAGGCGGGCGTCCAATTCCACCACCGTGATCAGGGCCAAGACCACCAGCCATCCCACAAGCTGAAACCCAAAAAGAGGTCTTATCAGCCACCGAAATCACAGAGCTATCAGATCGGGAACACAGATGTAGACTCATGGCCAAAAATGCTTACAAAATATCGCATATTTCTCTCGGATTTAAATTTCCTCGATTATAATTTTGCACACACAATAATGACACCACACACACTCGGCGGAGGGCGTTGGGAAACAAATTTGATTTACGTTTATCTACGAATATACGTATATTCCCCAAATCGATACCGATACCGACTTGTAAAAAGGTTCGATCCGCTGCGGAGCGACGTCTGCGAGGTTCAAAGTTAGCCACCGGACTGCCAATCCGGCCAGTTGCTGTTTTCAGATTTATACGAGGAAAACATCGCGGGGCAAAAGCGTAAGCGTCGAAAATCTAATAAGCATAACCAAATGCCAATATCGCGCTGGCTTCATCTTTTGTGTTTGGCCACCGAAAAGGGGCTCTGCTCTGAGGCGATGCTATATGATATCTACCCAGCAGGCCCTGCCCAGTGGATGGATTCTAGATATCGACGCCAGGTCACGTCGGTTAAGAGATTCATTTCCGTTTATCCGGTGCCCCATGTTTGCCTATTCATATTTTTTATGACACCATACGTCAGAAGCTAATGAAAAAGATACCATAAAGTGCTAAGTAGCTCGAGTTCTTCAAGATCCGCTGCTAATTTCGTTTTGAATTTATGATGGCAGGAGGTTCCGATTCCGATTTGTATGTGTTTATGGTCAGTCTGCAGCGGAAGGCAATAAACTCGGATAGATTGGATGGAATTAAAAATACAAGTTTGTGTCGCCGTTTGCTTATTGCATTTCACCAAGTTTGTTGCTTATTTTGTCACAAATTAATCACAGAACTTGTTTAGCTCATTAAAATGGAAATGGATTAATTTTTAGTGTGTAGCCGCTAAGTAAAAGTGTGTATATACACTTAACTACAAGTAACATTCGATGATGATAGAACCCATGTACAATGTACCACCTGGGGTCCAGTCCCAACACGGAAGCATTCGACTCCCGCCCAGCGTGTTCTGAGTGGCAGCCACATAAAAAATTATTAATATAACTTTTTAAAGCCTTTTCATGTCGTGAAGCGAATGCAAATTATGACCATAAAAATCACAGCGAATGCGATAAAATCATAGAAAATAGGCCATCAAAATTATAAGAAGCTGCTAGTTGGCTCTCTAGCTAGGAATTTGGATTAACAGAAGTATATTTAACGATCTTTGACTTGTTAATCAGGCTGAACGGAAACAGTTCCGTGTGTGTCGCTGTTCTACAGCTTTACAGGTTCCAAGAAAGACTGATTCTGGCTCGCAGCCGATTGAGCCGCATCGAGTTCGTTGCCTCAGTCTTTTGTTTCTGCTCCATTTGAGTGGGGGCTGCAGAGGCATAGATTATGTTTATGGTAATTCCGTAGGAACACCAAACATAAGCAGCAGTTGTTTATGCCCAAATAACCATATGCCTTAATTAATGTTCTCAACAGCAAAGTGTCAGAAGCGCCCCCGGGGGGAGCCGAGTAGGATGACTCTGTCTCAGTCAGCAGCAGCAGCAACTATCTCTAATAGTTCACACACGCATCGCGGCCAGAGAAGATGATCATCGTCGGCTGGCAGAAGGAGAACTGGATAAGGCAGTTGTTGGCTTTCAGTTTGGTCTCCGGTTTTCTAGTTTTTCGTGTTTGCGCGTTTCGCAAGCGATTCTAAGGCTAAACTATTTGGCGTCGATTTCTGTTACTTAATTAATGTTGTCCGCGAAAAGATCTCGTCGACTCGTTTAACTTGAAGATTTATGTCTGAAAATTAGCCAAAGATTATTTTCGCTTCATGCTTTCATCTCCGACGAGTGCCCCCTTTGCTATGTAAATCTCAGGGCACACAGAGGTGGCGTTGTTTCTTAATTAACAAATAGTTAGAGAGGTAAACAAACACAAAGCAAATGACATTAGGCAGCGGACAACTCTTATGGGTTCTGATTGATGGACTGATTGACGGTCCGGCGGCGACTTGTAAGGCCCCCGGGCTATGCAAATCAACTCGTGCAAGGTCTAGGTCTGCATAGCTCCACATTCCGCACATTGGTTCAAAGCGGTCTGAAAAATGCAAGACCCTTTTTTCCCCACAAGCAGAACAGATATTATTCGACTCACTTCGAAAGCCGAATCTTTAAACATTTAGCATTTCCAGTTTTGCCTTAAATCGCAAAAACCTAATGGTATAATCAAAATTGACTTATTATATGCATATTTAGCACGCCTCATTAAATCAAATTAATATATTTGATATTGACTTTTTAGTTAAGGCTCAAGTTCAACCATGACCTTTTACAGCAGCCGAAAATAGAATTTCATTATAATAAATTAATGGCTAAATGCAACGATTTGTCAGTCACGGCGGAATCTCCGAAAGCCGAAATCGAACGCCTGTGAATCATGAACATGAACCACTGTGCATAGCTCTCGATTTCATTTGGGTCTGCTATGCAGGCACACCTACAAATGGACCCCGAAAAATCAAAAATCCGATACCAAAACAACTTCATTGTCAGGCGATAATAGCTGGGCATTAGCACAAAATCAATATAAATCAATTCCCGGGCTCTTCGAACTTGTCTTGTTTTGGACCAGAGCGATGGTGATATGTAGATGCGACGCTTGCATTGATCCCGGTGGCTATGTGGTGGAGCAGCAGCTTCGCTTCCTCGTCTGGGTTTCCGAGAACTGTTCCCAGAGAGCTCAGAATTTAGCACGACCTTCCCCTCTTGAAGTCAAAAGCTTCCTCCTTTCGGACCAACCCAAATGTATTTTGGCCAGTTTCAAATGAACTTCCAAGCGCAGCAGATCGCGTCGCAGTTGCCGCTTGATTATAACGGATTTAGCTCGGATACTGATTTCGATTCAGGTTCGCTTTCGGTTTCAGGTTCAAGATTCTCCAACGGACCGTAAAAACAAACATTTGGAATAATTTTAATTACGAGAAGATGATGTCGTTCGGCAAGGTTTGTGCGTTGTCTTGTTGTGTGTTTCTGCCTCCATTAATCCATCCCCGAACCGCCCGAGCAGCTTGTGGTATTCCTGGCCCTTTCCCACCTGCATCACAGCCTGGAAGGCGCTCCCGCTCCCGCATCCGCGGCCAGAACCATCTACTACCACAATAACCCGCCCGGTCCGGCTGGCCACTACAGTTTCGAGTTTCAGACCACGAATGGGATTACTACGAAGGGGGCTGGAAACGAGAATGGAGCCGTGGGTGTGGTTCAGTATGTGTCCATTGAGGGCATTCCGGTTACCTTCTCGTACGTGGCCGATGCCAATGGCTACCAGCCCACCGGTGACCAGATCCCGGCCATTCCGACGCACGTAATCCGCCAGTTGGAGTATATCGCCTCGCATCCGCCGGTGGACGAGCGCAGATCCCGACTCTGGTAGGAGAGGGCATCTCGCATAAAAACAACAATTATATTTCGACGCGTAAATATCCATCGATTACAGTTGGGGAATATTTAAAATTCGTATTTATGTTTATCGTTTCCCCATGCAAATGGAACCAGCGAAACGCCAGCAACAAAATCATGCCAAAATATATAGCAAGCCAATAAATATTCTAGAAATATAAATAAAGTACTAGGTTTAATTGAGCAGTATTCTGGACGTCCGGAATGTTTATTTATAGGAAGGAAGTTCGTACAATAAATAACAATTAACAGTCGCAAAAACAAATATACGGAAACTGGAAAAGTATTATAAGAGACAAGTTGGAATTATTTAATTAATGTTTTCAAGGTAAACTTAAGATGGAATATGTGGGAAAGCTCAGAAGATAGCCAAGAGCTGGGACTGAAAGAACTCAATATTTCTCAAGACCTTTAAGTAATGCCTAATTTATATTTACTTTATTACGAAATAGTATTAATAGCTTACTAAAAACCCCTATATATTCTATATATTCTTTTTTTCACAGTGTAGAAACCGAGAAGATTGCTAAAGAAATATTTTAAGAATTCCCTGCAAAATAATCTAAGATTTATGGACTGCATAACTAGTCGAAATCATGTTTTCTATGCAAATGATCCGCCAAATGTCAGCTTTCATCAGCAGCTCACTTTTGGCCTGCCTTCGTTTTGTTTAAGAAAATGTCATGCTATTCCACAGCGAACTCCAATCTGATCGGTGCAACCTTGTCTTTAAGAACGGCTTTCGCTTTCCGAGCAATAATCCACGAGAAGATTGCCCGACTGTCGCCGATTCGATTCATTTGCATTTGGTCGCCTAATTAAGGCCGTTGCATAATATTGACCGCGTCGGAATCTCCGCCAAGAGCGACTTAATGTAACCAGACTAATAAACCAAATTGAGTTGACACCGTTTAATGTCACCGAAACAAGTTGCTGATTGATGCTCGCCTCAAATTAATCCCCCCAATTTGGTTCCGGCCTTGGGAAGCCTCTATCTACATTCATAGATATATTCATATATAACCAAGCGATTAGTTCGAGTTCACACCATGTAAATGAACTGCTACCGCTGCACCCGATCCGCCAGTAAGTTGGCAGAATATCCCCCATTCCCGCATGCTTAGCATAAATATGAATTATTCATATCGAGGTTCGATTATCTGATCTGGCGCTCTCAACAGCGTCTTTAAACTCTTAAGTGTTTGATGAATGGGCAGCAATCGGCAGGCGAAGGCAGCAATTTGTCTCCATCTTCGTGAGAGATTCCCAGATCCCCGAAACTATCAAAGAAACATTAGTGGTTCGTTCTATCTGATCATGTTCAGTCCGATCGTACCCACGTGCCAAGCCGGTTCAGGTTGCAGTGAGTCTCAGACTCAAAATAACAACGATTTCGCTGATTTATGGATCGGAACGAGCATTCATAAGGCTTTAACGACAGGCTAAACTGCTTTAATGCCACCGCTGGGAGTTTAGCTTCTAAATAAGTATTAAATCTTATTAATCAACTACCTGCCGTATTTAAATGCACATCAATAGTCGGGCATCAGGTGTTGGGTAATTAAGAACGAGTCGAAAGTTTGGATATAATAAAAATATGAATTTTTAGAAACCATCTCTCGGGCTCGACAACTCACTAATCTACTTTTAGAGGTCGATGCCCCCACGCTAGACGCGGCAAACAAATGAATGCTCGAATTGATGGTGACATTATGTAAACTCTGGGGTTACTGTCTGACTTATGAGCCATCTATATTCATCGTTGCCGTGTTTAGTTATCTTATCTGAATTGATTTACATGCATGCCGAATTCCAAAGATCAAAACACACAAAGTAAACAGAGACATGAAATTGATGTTCGCTCGGTTTCGCATTTGCACATCTTTACAATCATATATTTCAAGTTGCTCGACGTATATCTCTATTTATATATTTCTGGGTGTGTGTTGTGTACTGTCTGTGGGTTACAAGTGGCCTTCACCTTACATGACAAGTTTGGGGGTTTGTAAGAAGCATTCATCTGTTTTTCAATAGATTTTTATTAGGTGTAATTGTGTATTTGTGTGTTCTTGTGGTGTTTGTATATTTTAAACATAATCATCATCATAATCCAAGTATCTCACATAAAAACTATGTTTACACATATGTAGGGCATGTTGTTTGCTTGCTGTTACTTTCATCTTTGCAGTTTACACTTTGCCTATACTAAAAACTAAACCTAGTTACCTTCCAAGTCCGAGACAGGAGCGCGTTACCAATCATCTGATGCGATTTTGAGTGCCGGGTCTCGGTTGAGATCCCTGGGGCAGCCCAACTATTTTTATGAATTCGCTTGGTGGTTGTCGTCTGGATCGGGCAAGCCAGAAACGAGGATTATAAGTCATTTAGAGTTAACTGGAGTGTTAAATACATATGCTAAATGTAAATATATAAATTGAAACTTTCTCGTGAACAATTTCGGGTTTGGTTGTTTGAATAATGTAGGTTTAAGGTATGTGTTTACAATTGGTTACAACGCTGCGTTTGCGAACGTCCTCCAGAGACCTTCAGCGCCCCCACAGCTAAAACCTGCAACGAATAGATCCGATTACATATCATTCTTTAAGGAGCGTCCCAACACACTTACCAGTCCTCGTCGGTTGCCAGTATGGTGTAATGGTCACGGCCTCTCTCCTAGGGCCAGTCCTAGTCCGCCTTCGTCTCCGCAAACTCTTCCAGAGCAAAGTAGCTGCCACCGGAGGCTCCGCCACTGCTGCTGGCTGTGGTGGTGGCCACTACGGTGGAGGATGCGGAAGCACTGGATGCCTCCGACACTTGCACTTCTTCGCCGGCCGTTGCAGCTGCCGTATCCTTTTCGTCGGCGCTGCCGGATCCGCTGGCTGCCGCCGCCGCCGCCTGTTGCGCTGCCTCTAGCACTTGTTGCTGGACCTGTACGATGGGCTGGCCATCTTCCGTGTATGACACGGACACCGGTATGCGTGTGCCATCCTCGCTGATGACGTGGGCACCCTCCTCGCCATCCTGACCCTGTTGTATGATCAGCTGGCCCTCGGAGTTCAGCAGAGAGGCGTCGATCAACTGCTGCTCATTGTTGTCGCCATGGACGAGCACCATCTGGCCACTGCCGTCGGTCATCATCTGTAGGGTTTCCCCTTCTAGTCCCTCACCGGACTGCAAGACGCCCACGCTCTGCAGCAGCTGCTGAATCTGCTCGGGGTCCTGCACAATGATCTGGTTGCCCTCGGCGTCGGTCAGAATGTGATTGTCCAGCTGGAGCAAATGACCATTCTCATTGACTATGAACTTGATCTGTCCGCCGTCCACTTGCGCCTGCATTGCCTCGTCCAGTTCCATTGCCACTTGCTGCTCGCCACCGGCAGCTTCGCCGGCCTCTCCCTCGCCACTGTTGCCGGTGGTCACCTCGCCCTCGACGGACTCAGCACCTTCCGTGGTCGCAGCAGCGGCCTCCGACTCGGTTGTGGGCGTATCCGTGGCTTCACGCTTTGATTCGGCTTCTCCTTCTGCAGAGGGTTGAGGTTCCTCGGCAGCAGCAGCAGTGTCGGCCTCCTTCTCCTTGGCCGATTTTTCATCAGGTTTGGGCTTAGACTTCTCCTGACCGGCTTTACTGGCCGGCTTGGTTTCCTCTGTTGTTTCAGCTTCAGCAGCGGCGGCCTCGTTATCATCGTCAAGACTGGGCATGGAAACGGGTGCTGCAGTGGACTTGCTGTCGGCGGACGCGTTATCGCCGCTCTCACCGCCTTTAACGTCGGTGCTGCCCTGCGATTGGGACTCATCCTCGGCTTGATCCAGATTCGGCATGTCAATGCTAAAGGACACTGGAGCTGTGGCACTGGGTGAATCCTTCTGGGACTGGTCGCCGTCCGGCTGCGGTATGGTTATGTTGAAGGTTATGCCCCCGCTGCCCTCCTGCGAAGTGATGACCATTTCGCCGCTCTTGCTGCCCGTTTTGCTTGCCTCGCCGCTCTCGTTCTTGTCCGAGTGCAGTTTCTCAAACAGGCTCTCAATGTCCGCCTCGGCGCTCTGCTCGCCGCCCTCCTCGGCAGCCTTACCGGTTGCCTCGCCGGGCTCATCGCTCAGTAGTGCCGCGGCTGCCGAATTTAGGGCTCCAGATCCTCCTGCAGTAGCGCCCTTTTTGTCACGCCTGTGAGTCTCCATATGGTGGTTGTAGTAAGTCTCCTGGATGAAGGTCAGAGAGCAGATGCTGCACGAGAAGAACCGTATGTTGTTCTCCGCCTCTCCGGCAGCCACAACAGCTGCAGCGCCTCCGGCTGCGGATGCCGGCACGGTATCGCTTAGTGCTTCGTCAATAGTCTCCTGGAGCAGCTTCTGGGTGTTCAAGTTCTGGCTAACAGCCGGCTTGGAAGAGACCGTCGCTCCGGATTGAGTCTGATGGACCTCAAAGTGCTTGACGAGAAGCTCACGCTTGGGGAAGGTCATCGAGCAAGTACCGCACTTGAAGAAGTTGGTCTGATGCTGCTTGGCATGCACAGTGGCCGCCTCGCGCGTCTCGAATCGTTGCGAGCACAGACGGCACTTGAATGGCTTTGGCTTGCCGGCGACATGCTTGCGCATATGTTCGTCTAGAACTCCCTTATCCGTGGACTTGAACTGGCAATGGTTGCACGAATACAGCGAGGCGGCAGACACGTTCAGGTTCTCGGAAGCGGCGGCAGCAGCTGCAGCCGCAGCGGCAGCCACCGGTGCAGCGGCCGCCGGTATGGTGGTGGTGCTGGTCACCAGCACATTGGTGGCATGGTTGGTTTCCATATGCTTGCGCAAGCTGACCTCGTTTACAAAGTTGATGTGGCACATGGCACAGGTGTTATCCATGGCGGTGTTGTGGTCGCGCACCATGTGTTGCTTCATGGCCCCAAAGTGGGGGAAGATCTTGCGGCAGGTCTTGCACTGGAACGTCTGCTGTTTGCAGGTCTCGTAATGAGTGTTGAACAACCGCATGTCCGACGTCTTATAGTCGCAAGAGGTGCACTTGTAGATTTTGGTGGCCTTCCTCTGCACCGTCTGTGTGCCCTGGGCGCTGCTCTGAGGCGTTCCGGAAGCGATCTTGGATGCGCCCACTAAGAATAAAGAATAATTAGCAAGGAATAACATGGGAATCGGCTTGCTGTCTAGACTAACCTGTTGTGCCCGGTACGACCTTGCGTGTCCGTAATGCATCCGAGCTCTGGCTCTCCTCCAGCGACCGATTGGCAGCGCCGGTTGCCATTTTCTGCATCTTTAGCGGCGGACTTGCCTCCAGGCCTCCCAGATCTTCGTTAATGGCATACTTCTTGTTCAGCAGACTGATCAGGTTCGTCTTTACGCGCTCCACGTCATTCTCTAGCCTGTCGTAGTAGTTTACCAGGTTGGTGCAGCGCGAGCAGACGTAATCCTCGCCGCAGACAATCACGAAGAAGCCCTCGCCCACCAGCTGGGCCAGTTTGTTAGGGAACTTGGTGGCGGTGTGGGTGGTGGTCATCTCCGTAAGCGAGGTCTGCGGCTCGCATCGTTCGTCACAAATGTAGCATCGCGTGGCCAGGAAGCCGACGCCAATGCCCGCGTCCGCATCGCCACCCGCCTGCTGCTGCTGGGCCAGGGATCCGCCGGCGGAGGCACTGGCGACGCCGCCTCCGCCCCCGCCGGGCACTACGAGACGCGTCGTCTTGAGGATGCGCGGCTGACTGGGACCGGTAACGGTGACTGCTCCGCTATTGAGCAGATTGTTGAACTTGCGGTAGGTGGCCGGGTTCAATTGGTTGTTCATTGTGCGGTGAGCACGCCGTGGCCGTGATGGGGCTGCCGGGGTCTTCGCTGTTGTCTGCGGAACGGAATCTCTGGGCGCAACACGCGCAACTGCAAGCCGCTCTTTTCTGTGATTCGGCGATTACGACAAACGGCGCTTTTGCGGGGCACTGGGCGCTGGGCTGGGCTCCTTCGATGGCGACACACGCGCTTGCTACTTTTACGGACACGGCAATTGTGCACCAGAAACAACAATATCTATCGGTTTTCAATTCTCGCTCCGTTCTGGGTTGTCGCGGCGTCACTTTGACTGTACTAAAGTCTCGGTGCTGTATTTTTTAGGGTTAAAAATGCGTATGTTTTGCGGCCGTGCTCTGTTTACAGCTAGTCGTCTCGCTCGCTAGCACGCTCGCTGCCCTGGCATCGCAGCGATGCACCAGCTAGTCATCTCGCTCGCACGCTACGGAAATGGCGGCTGCTCGGGCGGTCAGCCACGTTCAGACGGGGAAAAAGTATGACAGCATTGCAGTTTTGCATGACGGCACAAAAGATTTACAATAATATTATCAAACGCGTAGTCAAGTTTCTATATTCAAATTATATTTAAGTGAATAGATTTTTTTAAAGTGGTCCGATTTAAAATTAATTATTATATTGGCTTGATTTGACTGATATCCTATGACGTGTCAGGTCTGTCATGCATTTGTGGTTCTCTCAGCAGCCACCAGAGGCCGCCTTTGCGCGCGCTCATTTGAAAATTCGTACTGTAAATAATTGAAATGTTTGGGAAATGAGGTAAGCGGCGAAATACAACTATTTACGCAACGATAAGGGCGACATCACTAATGTGCTAATACAGAAGTCCGATAAGATTGCAGTCCGCTCCAATTATAGCCTTTCGATTTAGCTCACATTCTCCCACACAATTCAGCCAAGCGAAAACGCTTGTCGATGCCGTGGCTTCTCTTTTCTGGGCGGGTGAGGTAAGGGGGCCGCCTTATCAGTACCGATAATATAATATTTACCATCCGAACGCAGAACGCAGCCCACAAGTTAAGGCCCGATAAATGTTTCGACCAAAAACACTGCGTTCAGTTAACGAACGAAACGAACAGCGAACGGATTCTGGCTTGAGAAATCGAGTTGAATCGAAGTGAAACATAGAAATAAAAATAAAAGCCTTCGCGGACAATTGGCGCATTCCGCAAGCTGTAATTCAAACCGAGCCATTATCGCTTGGTTATCGGGAAAATAAACGAGTTGCGAACGCGGGTCGCAAAAATAATTGGCGATCGTTCAGTTGGCCAACGGACGTTAACGTCGCGTACTGCAAAAGCGCACTCAACCCGAACGATCCGTGTGAATAAAGAATATATAGAAAATAGCAGAAGCCATCGAAAAGTCGCCGCAAAATGTATTCACCCCCGGTGCCGAGCATCAAGCACTTTGGCTCCCTCAGAACGGCCGTACTCTGGGCCGGAATTCTCGGAGTGGTAAGTAGCTCCGTGACCCCGACCCCATTCCCTGATAAGTGAGGAGAGATATTGGAATTGACATTGGCACCACTCACTGGAACTGACTGTGGTGGAGATACAAGTACTCCTTCACCTGACCAAATTCTAGTCGTCATAATCAGCATTGAGTCATTTGCAGCGATTCCTCGTTTCAAGAGGAACTGATAGCCAGATAATCAGTTGCTGTGATTGACGTGTGTGTAAACAAATTGACTGAAAAGAACACTCAGATAGGGAAAGTTAGGCTATTAGAAGCGAAAAATCATTAATATGTAATAAGAATCCGGAAGATTGTTATTTTGAACCAAAAGTCCTACTCCTATCTAAATTTCTTTAAAACTACATAAAATACTTATTCCTAATAATACAATTATAGTCGGAGCCCACCTCTTTTGACTTTTTTTTAAATAGTATCTGCTATATAGTTTCTATAATTATTAATTAATTATAATTAGAGACTAGACTGGACTAGAGCCTTGCAACAGATCCAATCAACTACTGATGATTATGCATAGAGAGAATAAATGCCTAACTTATGTTGACTAAGACAAGTACTTGTAATTTATAAGATTTATATTTATTAATTTCAGTAATCAGTTTTTTTCTATAATATTTGATTTGTTTTCCTACAGGTTCAAGCCTGCATCTGGATTGGACTGACCATCACAGCGATATGTGCTTACAGCTGTGTGCTGTACATAACGAATGATTTTACGTATGGGAGCATGGTGAAGGCCGTGTTCTTCTATGTGTACTTCAAGGGCGGCTGCAGGATGAGCCCCAACGATTTCCAGCAATTTGATTATACTTATTTGGACTCAGTGGAGACTGTGTTCGATTCGAACCAATTGTTGATCTGGAACTGCGTCTACCTGGGAGTTTCAGTCTGCTGGCTCAGCGTGTCCATTGTGCTAATATTCTGTGAGTATGATAAAGAGGATCTAGGAAAGCGGAAATGAACTGCATATTAGAAAAGATATCGTAATGCTTTATGATTCACTTGTTAAAATCGTGGAATTTCTTTTATCAGGCAGCCAGATAAAATAAAAAGTCCCTGCCATAAAGCCAAATAAACAAAAGTTAATGGTATAAGTTTGAAACTATATGAGAGGTTGTATAACTTTTTCATTGATGGGTATTCCCCCACAAATATTGTTTCTTTGCTCGATTAGGAGAAATATTATAAAAAGGAGTCAATTAATTATTAAAAATATCTCGGATAATTTAAATAAACTTTAGCTCTGTCATTAAGAAGATAATTCGTTAACTGCCTTCCTACATTTATTATTAATTTATTATATATTATCATTATAATTTAATGACTTAATTATGCTTCTGATTTGATGTATCACCTGTAAACAAAGTCATTTATTAATCACATGCTTAAATGAAAAGTGGCACATTTTATGTTTGTACTTCTGAGACTCATTAAATCCCCACTGTGATAGATTAATCAATACACCTTCCTTCTGCTCCATTCTCCTTCCAAGCCGTGCGCAAGGATAACACCAAGAGTACCCTGATCGCGATTTACACCTGGGCCTTCTTCGTGGCCGCCATCTGCTGTATGGACGTGGCCTCCGGAGTGATCTTTGGCGTCGACTACGGTCGCTTTAATGATGAAGCTCTGAAGCAGAATGCCAATACATTGAACGCTGGTCCAGTGGATCCGATGGCTGCCACCCTCATTGCCGGAGCCGTGTCCGCCATCTCGATGATGATCATCTCGTTCAAGGGCTTCGTTTTGTGGCTAATAAACCTTGGCCTGCTCATCTACCTGCTGGTGCGAGCCACGCGCATTGCCACCGATAAGGATGGCCCGGTAAGTTGTCACCTGAGGTCAGCGGATGACCTCATCGCGTTGTCTTCTCCTTTTCCGATTTCGATTCACATTCAAGTGATTTGTCTGTTAAAATATTCGAACAACGCAGAAAGTGAAATTCTTACGGCCGGGCAACGACTACGACATGGCTATGTTTAGCACTTTGCTGCCATTAACTCACCCTGGTAGTGGTGGTGTAGTCTATTCCGGTGCTGGTTGCTAGTAATGGTAACCACTGATAAGAAAGCCCCGTCGATAAATTGCCTCGGGCCGCCTGATAGCGGGATTCCTGGGTTTTGGGGCTCAGTTCGCGGAAACGCCGTAGAAAATGATTGCTTACTCTGGGTTTTGGGTGCGGGGGTACCGTCTCAGGACAGTTCTCCTCATCTATTCAAAATATGAGTCAAGAAAATAAGGAATTCATTCCACTTTTAGTATTTGTATTATTCAATCCTCTTTCCTAATCAGTTGCCATTGAAGTGCAACATTTCAAGGCGTTTCCATTATCAGTTTATTTAAAAATAATATTGTGTAAATCTACAAAGTGAGGCGTTATCATGAAATTTCTAAAAATTTTTAATTAGACTAATTGGACTATTGGACTAATTGGACTAAAGGTTTCAAATCAAATCAAATGATGCTTAAACGTATGCTATAAAATGGTGCATAATTAATAACTTTTTGCATTGATTTAAGATACACAAAGATTCCAGAAAAATTCTTAATAACTTACTTCCACAGGATACTTTGTATAATCCCCGCAAGGATTCCAATGATATTCTAACCACCCGGCCGCCCATTCGCGCCTACGAGGAAGAGAAGTGAGTAGAAATTGTTTTCCTCCTGAACCTTAACCTAATCCCCATTCCGTGTCTTAGGGTGGAGATCCAGGCATATAACAACGCAGCGTACAGCAACGCAGCCTACGTTCCGGATAACCGCTCCACGGCGGAGACCATTGAGGTGAACGAGGACGCCATCATCCGAGCGGCGCACATGTCGATGGACTCCAACCTAATGGACCGCCGCTTCCGGGACCTCAACGCCTTCCAGCAGTACCCGGCTCCCAATCCCCAGGCCAGTCGCCCGCTGCGCCAGACCACACAGACTCCGGTGCAGGAGACTATTGTGGTGGCGACTGCGGGATTCCCGATACCCGACTACTCGCCGGCACCGAGTCCCAATGGCATTCTGCGCCATCCCCAGTACTAAGACGGCTGGCGCCCAGCAAAGCCACCTCGTTCCATAATATAATTCTCAAATAATCCCCAAGTGACAGCTAAAGTTTAGTTCAAATTTTGTCAGTATGACAATCTACGATGTTGTACATGTTATTCTTATTTATTTGCATGTTATTAACCAAATAAGTGTGTGCAGTTGTACATATATTAAACAGTCATAGTTGTTTGCACCGCCAGTTGAACGGTATTAGTTTTTTTCTTTTTTTCTATAAGTTCATTATTTCATAATGCAGATAAGGCGCGGGTCGTTTAGATGGAAAACGGCCCCCAGCAACGATTTAATTGGGAAGAGATTAGCCCGAGAGGAAGGAAAACAAAATACGTTATTTAAATTTTAGATTACTATTTCGTGATTATGTGGGAAATAAAAAAATTTTATGTTTAAACGGAAATTGTAAATATTTCAGGTACACAGGTTTAATTGAAAATATATTGATTGTTTGACTTAAATAAATAATTACCTAGAATGGTTGTTATATTCATTTTGAAATCTAAGCATTGGGCTTAACATCTCCAAATTGGTTTAATAAGCCTAATTTAAAGTCGAAATTCTAATTGGTGGATAAACAGATAAACGAACGATCTGTTTGAATTTATAATTCGAGCCGCCAAAAAACCTTTTACTTTGATATAACAAAATCGATATCGATGTTAACGCGTTTTTGGGAATTTTTAGGCTCGTCGTATAAAAAAATATATTTTTTTTCTCTTCTAAAATAAGTTGTTAATGTCGCGAATGAAATTATTGCTAAAATATGCTAGATAAATCTTAAATATTTCCCTTTTTAAATGTGTTAGAATATGCTTTAAAACCAGCACTGGGTCAAACAAAAGTTCAAATATCCACAATTCGTCAGATCTTCCAAATCTTTAATTTTAAATTTATTTCGTAAGTATGGCACTAATTCGAATAAAATATAGTTTTTAAATGCTAAAAAATGAATTTAATATTGTTTTTTACTGGGCTATTTGACATTTGGATATGTTAAAAAAAGCATTTGAAAAATAGTGTTTTCAGGGATTTCTTAATATCTCGGGTAATCAAAAGCGTGCAGCAATACCCGATATGACAATATGAAGAACATTTCTTGTAGCTTTATCATACCAAGTTTCAATTTTTTCAAATCGTCAGTTTTTGAGCAAATCTCATAACAGTGCTTAAACTTCGGGGTCGGCTCCATATAAAATAGGGCATCTAAAATTTTAAGGCTTATAACTTCGATTTACGAATGCGTGCACATATGCACGGTACAGGGGATTACTAGAGGAAGATTAACGAATATTTAATGAAAATTTCAATTGTTTTTAACTGTCGGATTTCGAGAAAATCGAATAACAGTGAGCAGTGTATTTGAGCTAATAACTAAGGCGCGAACTATGAAAATGGAACCAGATGGGAACCAGCAGAGAACCACTCGCTGAACCAGACCATGGAACCATGTTCAGAAAAATACTAAATTAAATAATAATAGCAAATTGTTGAATAAAACATTAAGAAAAGTGACTGCCCCCAATTATTGAAAAAGCCCTTCAAAACAAATTGGTGGGATTTTCATTTAAATCAGGGAAAGATTATATTAGTATATACCACGGCGGAATGTTATGCCTCTCCCCCACAAGTAAAACCGACGCTAACTTTTACAAAAATCTTACGCCTTTAAATGAACGCGTGGAAGCTTGCACGGTATATCAAACGATAGGGAAAAATATTCTATAATTTCGAATTAATTCTCTATTAAACTTATCCCAATGATTTTTAGAAATAGGCGTTTTCTTTTTCCGATCTTAATCACAAACACGGCTTTATATCGATAGGGCCCTTCACACACCCTATCGATGAATAGCCCGCCATAAAATATTCCTATTGACCATTAAAACAATTGTATGAAATATGCATGTCCCATGAATGGAATTGACATTCCAAGCGTTTTGGTAGTTGTTTTATCAAAATCCGTTCAGTCGTTCATGAGAAAACCCACATTTGCATTTATTTACATAAATGTTCCTTCGAAGAATAAATATGTCTGGCAGCACTGCCTGCCAAAAAATAAGTCAATTTGATTTAAACTTTTTTATGAAACTTATGCAAACTGAAGATCGTACCATTAACGGGATCGCAATTCTGAACATTTTGATCCACGTTTCGTCAAAATCCGTTCAGTCGGTAAAGAGAAATCCCGACTTTTTCATTTATTGCCGTAAATGTATGTATGTACATATGTATGTGTGTATGTTCGACGAAGAATATTAAATAAAATAATCTGATTTATACTTAATAGTAGGACGTATGTATGTATGCAAATGGAATAAACTGCATTGTAGTTCTGAACATTTTAATCCATTATATGCTAGTAAGAGTGTATAGAAGACTAACTGGAAAGTTTTATTCAGATAGCTTTAAGTATGAGGGTCTAGTTTCCTTATAATTAGACTGACAGACAGACGGACATGTCAAGATAGACTCGGCTGTTGATGCTGATCAAGAATATATATACTTTATAAGGTCGGAAATAATTTATTCACTGCGTTGCAAATTTTTGACCTGAAATCATATTACAAAGCAAGGGCATTGAAGCACTAAATTTGAGAAGCAAATTTTCGAAATAACATTTAATAGTCTGCCCAATAAATGATACCGTTATTCTAAGCAATTTGGTAGGTGTTTCATCGAAATCCGTTCAGTCGTTTTTGAGAAATTAACATTTAAATTACTAATTTATATACTAAGGAGGCATGATTATGCATCCCTGGCAGCCATCTGCAACAAATGAAAAATTCGGATTTCTCATTAACGACTGAACGGATTTTGATGAAACAGAGATCAAAATGTCCAGAACCTCGATGCCGTCTATAGGACAGTCTTCCTTTTCCATAGGTTTAACCATGAAGCTAAAACCAAGTTTTCTTGTTTTTAGGTAGGCAGGGCTGCGGGATATATTTATTCTTCAGTGGCACATATGTAAATGGAAATAAATGAAAAAGTTTGGATTTCTTATGAACGACTGAACGCAATTTGACGAAACGTGATCCCGTTAATGGTACGATCTTCAGTTTGCATAAGTTTTATAATACAGTTTAAATCAAATTGACTTAATTTTAGGCAGGCAGTGCTGCCAGACATATTTATTCTTCGTATGAACATTTATGTAAATAAATGCAAATGTGGGGTTTTCTCATGAACGACTGAACGGATTTTGATAAAACAACTACCAAAACGCTTGGAATGTCAATTCCAATTATGGGGCATGCATATTTCATACAATTGTTTAAGTGGTAAATAGGAATATTTTATGGCGGGCTATTCATCGATAGGGTGTGGGAAGGGCCCTATCGATATAAAGCCGTGTTTGTGATTAAGATCGGAAAAAGAAAACGCCTATTTCTAAAATCTTTGGGATAAGTTTAATAGAGAATTAATTCGAAATTATAGAATATTTTTCCCTATCGTTTGATATACCGTGCAAGCTTCCACGCGTTCATTTAAAGGCGTAAGATTTTTGTAAAAGTTAGCGTCGGTTTTACTTGTGGGGGAGAGGCATAACATTCCGCCGTGGTATATACTAATATAATCTTTCCCTGATTTAAATGAAAATCCCACCAATTTGTTTTGAAGGGCTTTTTCAATAATTGGGCAGTCACTTTTCTTAATGTTTTATTCAACAATTTGCTATTATTATTTAATTTAGTATTTTTCTGAACATGGTTCCATGGTCTGGTTCAGCGAGTGGTTCTCTGCTGGTTCCCATCTGGTTCCAGTTCGCGCCTTAGTTATTAGCCCAAATACACTGCCCACTGTTATTCGATTTTCTCGAAATCCGACAGTTAAAAACAATTGAAATTTTCATTAAATATTCGTTAAACTTCCTCTAGTAATCCTATGTACCGTGCATATGTGCACGCGTTTGTAAATCGAAGTTATAAGCCTTAAAATTATAGATGCCATATTTATATGGAGCCGACCCCGAGGTTTGATCGCTGTTATGAGATTTGCTCAAAAACTGACGATTTGAAAAAATTGAAACTTGGTACGATAAAGCTACAAGAAATGTTCTTCATATTGTCATATAGGGTATTGCTGCACGCGTTGGATTATCCGAGATATTAGAAAATCCCTAAAACATGATTTTTCACATGCTTTTTTTTAATATATTCAATTGTCAAATACTTTCAAACCGAGCAATAGTTAATTAATTTTTATCATTTAAAAACTATATTTTATTTAAATTACTGTCTTACTTACGAAATAAATTAAAAATTTATAAATCCCTCCATGTTCCATTTTCCCAACGGTCCATTTCAACGCTTACTCATCGGCGCTAATTTGACGGGCATAGAAAATAGATTGATATATTATTAAAAAGGACCGACACACGAGAGAGAATTCTGTTAATTAACATCCATCCGACAGCCATCGAGAGAGAATTCTGTTAATGAGAGCAGCCTGTTATTGAATTTTACATTTTACATAAGAATTCGATAAAGGTGTATAATTGTATTCCAGACGTGTCAGATGTAAAATGTTAAAAACAGCTGTGGAACTCAGCGACCAAAACAAAAACAAAAGAAAAAAAGATTTCGATTTTAGTCCCGGGTCAAAATAAGTTCAAAAGAAATTGGTTTTGCGATAAGGCGAGCTACGATTTTCGTCCCGAGCACTAAACGTAACGAGCGTGTTTTGAAGCCGCTCACTTGTCAACGAAACAGCCCCGGAATCGGATCACACAATCACTTGTTTTTGACTGGCAAAAGCATGGTTTTCATTACAAAATTGACACGGATCGGGTTCCAGGCGGCCCGCCAGCTGCGCGCCACGCCTCTTGCCGCCCTCCAGGGGCGCGGCTTCCACCTGAGCAGCCTGCTGAGCGCGGGTAATTTATTCTATGGTTTATGCAACACAGCAGTTGCAGTTGTGAAAGCACTGACCCTCAAACTGTAATCCGTAATCTCTTCCAGAACGTCGCTACACGAACAACCATGAGTGGGTGGAGCTGGTGTCCGGGAACAAGGCCATTGTGGGCATCTCCAGCTACGCTCAGGAGTCGCTGGGCGACGTGGTCTTCGCCCAGCTGCCGGAACCGGATACAGACCTCAAGCAGAACGACGAGTGCGGGGCCCTGGAGAGCGTGAAGGCGGCCAGCGAGGTGTACTCGCCGGTCAGCGGCAAGGTGACGGAGAAGAATGCTCAGGTGGAGGACACGCCGGCCCTGGTGAACAGCAGCTGTTACGAAAAGGGTAAGATAAACAACACACATCGCCTTTTTAGATCTCTGTGATAAAAATGTACATCTCCTTGCAGGTTGGCTCTTTAAGGTTGACCTGAAGAATCCCCAGGAGCTGGATAGCCTTATGACCGAGGAACAGTACAAAGACTTTGTGAAAGGCAGTGCCGATCACTAGACCGAGCCAGCAGCCAGCAGCCAGCCAGCGATCAGCGAGCAGAGACCCAGCATTTGTTATCACTCGAAAACACACACCAAAACTCATCGCCACCCCACACGTTGTTGTAGCTCTGACATTTGTTACAAATAAGAATCGACAGTAAAGCCAAATATTATATTTAAATCGGGCGTCTTGACCTGCGGGTGGCAATGTTCCAGGCGGAGTCTGCTCCCCCATGGAAACCTTCTAGCCGATAAGGCCCACCGAAGAGAAACCTGCCCGGAATCACTCAAAAGATAAGCGAAACACTCACTCATAGATCAAGAGAGTATAAAGAGGGAGAGGCTAAGGAGCACTCAATTTCCTGGTGATAATACGGATCAGCTTGGAACGGCGTGCTTGGATTTGGCAACACACATACATCTATTAAAAAATTGTTGCCGAGACGGGCAATGGCACACGCCACGGGCATCGCCATCACCTGATTGATGATGGACACACCTCTCTGGAAAGTTACGCCGTGCTCATACAGCGATAAGGATGTCTCAAGTCGCGCCTAGAAATCTGCACGATTCTGGTGAATGATGATAATGATTGAACTGAAAGAGCGGGCCCGCCGAAGCTTTCGCCTCCGAAAGCTGGCCCGACAGAGGCGAAAAGCTCTGGCGTTGCTCATACGACCTGGTCAGTGCTCAAAAAAAACTCATTCGGTGCGGTGCGAGAAGCGCGTGCTGCTCGAGAACCTACCCCAGAAATTTAATAACAAAAACACACACCCCGCACATACACACTATAAGCTAAGGATAACTGCAAAGCAGGATAATTTCAGGAGAATCTTTAACAAAAAGTACCTAAGCATTGAACAAAAACACAAACAGAACCGACAAAATGCCAGCGGAAAAATCAATATATGATCCGAATCCGGCCATCAGCCAGAACGCCTACATATCCAGCTTCGAGGAGTACCAGAAGTTCTACCAGGAGTCGCTGGACAATCCGGCCGAGTTCTGGTCACGTGTGGCCAAGCAGTTCCACTGGGAGACCCCCGCCGATCCGGAGAAGTTCCTCAAGTACAACTTCAACATCTCCAAGGGCCCCATCTCGATCAAGTGGATGGAGGGCGCCTCGACCAATCTGTGCTACAATCTCCTGGATCGCAATGTCCGCAACGGTCTGGGCGACCAAATAGCCTACTACTGGTGAGTCCTCCTCCTCGCCCACTCCCCTTCTGGGTATCGTAGGTCGCATGAAAACAAAAGTGGTTCGCTGGCAGGACAACGCAGTATTGATTTTTCTTGTGGTTATGAAACTTTCGCCTCGTGACGTGCATAAGGTGGGTTCGGTTCGGTTGGGATTCGGGTTCAGGTTCGGGCTCTCCTGCTCCTCCACCTTGGTCAGGATTTACTGCGCAGGAACCATCGCAGGCGAACAGATGATAGTACGTACGTGTTTATTGCAAGGATGCGAACTCAAGGGCACATCTCACCTTGTTGCCATCGATTTTTGGTTAGAGAAGGACGTAGCTCTTTGTTTTCCTATTCTGTTTCTAGCTAATTTAAGCAATTACTTTTGTTTTGATTGCGACTTAATCGTCTGAATGCCTAATGTGACAGTGACTCTAATCATTCCGAATTAAGGCAAATTTCGGGGGATTTTTGTTTAGGGTTTTCCACCTGCAGTTTGGCTAAACGCTCTGGGTCAATGTCAGGGCCATTTGTCGCTTCGAGACCTCGCCGTAACAGGGTGACCCGGCCAAGTTTAAGCTTTGCAGTGGTATTTCTTTGTTTGTCTATGCAGTTTATATCGATTGGCAATTAAACCGGTCGATGTGTCTGAAAACAGAGTCCGTTTTAGTCTGTTATATTTCCGTTTTTACAAACGTTTGTTTTACCGCAAAGTTATATACATCTCTTATATTTAATTCAATTATGAACCAATTTAAGGAAAGCATTCAAATTGAAAATTTGGGAATATCTTAAGACACTTCCTATATCTCTCTTTTATTTAAGTCAATTATAAACCAATTTAAGGAAATAAGTAAGCATTTAAATTGAAAGAAAAGCTTACTGAGTCATTAAATCCTTTTTAACTTGCAGATGTGACAAGTTTAATTTGTATTTTTTATTATTTTTTAAATATATACTCTAACCAATTGCTTGGGAGAAATTAATTTTTTACAGTTCCAACTAAAGTTCAATATCCCTTGTTCCATTATTAAAGTCCCCATCCCATTTATGGTTGCTTCTCCACTCGACGTTACTTAAAGTTAACACAGACGAATGCAAATATTAAATAATAGTCTCAGGTTCTTCCCACTGTGAAGTGCAAATTTAATTGTTGTGCAATCTACATACTCCGTCGACGCCTATTAAACAACGGACACTCCCTTCCCCTGATTAGGTCTCCGGGAATTCAGCACTATATAGTACTATATAAGATTCTCGAGTGCCCACTCAAAACGCAATTAAATTGAATGGCCTGGAAGAAATAAGCACTTTGTTGTTTTGGTTGCGCGAGAAGATTCGCTTTATTTTGAGACCCAAAGTTCACCGTGCGTCAGGCTGGAAAAAAAGCACAATGTTAAACAAATGTTAATGCTAATGAGCTTATCTCGGGGTTATCACCAAGGGGCTGCTCTCTGGGCCCCGAGGGAAATGCAAATGAAAGTCAGGTAATTGAAAGGCAATTACAAGGTCATTGCTAGTAAGTTTCCAGCCACCTTGGGTTCTACGATTCTATGGCTCAAAGTTACATTTAACCCATCATTATTCCGTGCTATTTCCCATTCTTTTTTGTTGGAATTATTTAATCCCAGCACACAATCTGTCCTCACTGTCCCTGCGATAAGATAAAAACTATAACTGGGGAAAAGAAGACAGAAAAAATACCGTGCACGTAATGAGTAATAATTAACGCTTTTCGAGCGGCCGTTTCAGATAATTTTATTGCAAACCAAAGCAAAGCAAAACAAAATCTTAAACTTTATTTGCACCGTGTTTTTTTATTGGGCAGATAGCGATAGCAAAAGTTGAACAAAACTAGTGCCGGTAGATCCCTCAAACTCTTTTGGATCAAGTGCAAATCTAACCCATAAGTGGGTCAGCTACACAAAAAATTCGAATGACTCAAATCTTTAGTGCAAGAATAAATCTATGACTCGAATCACTATAATTAATTATTGAGTTGAACTAGAACTTACTTAAAGATTTATTGAGGATTTGAAGTGTGAGATTGTTACTCATATTTTCATTTATTTATTTGTATAATCTAGCGTGAGACTTATAATCATTTCTACATAATAATTATAACAATTTCATATATAGTAACTCCAAAGATCAGTTGATAACCTTTTCGAAATATATGGATTTTTACCTTTTGATCTTAAAATGTTACATCTCTTTTCGATTTTTGAATAAATCGGTTTTGAACCGAACCGATTTACGCAAACGGATTTCGAGACTCGATGGCAACAAAATTAAATTGAATTAAACACACACCAAAGCCGAGCATTATTATGTAAGCGATTTGACAATGCGCGCAAATTGTTTATTCAAATTGATCGAAGAGCGTCTTTGCGTTAAACGTTTTGCTATTTTCCGTCTCCTCCTGTTTTCTTTCTGTTTTTGTTATTTTCCATTTCTGTGTCACAGTGTCTGGGCAAAGGGTGTAGGAAAAAGTAGACAAAGTAAAGGAAGGAGAATCGGAGACAGGAACATAAATAATCTCAATCCAGGTAACAAAACAGTTTGAGTTGCACTGGGCGAAAAGAAAATCACGCGATCACATCCTCTGATTCACGCACCACCAATTAGAGACCGCAGACAGACAGAGACAGGGAAAAAGAGCGACAGAAATAATGGACTGTGTATGTGGATGTCTTACCTGCACTGAAGAGAGAGCGCCGGCATAGAATAATGCTGTCTAAGCATTTCTCAATTTTTTTTTTTGCCACTCTTATCAGTTTGGACGAAAAAACGTGTTTTGCCCATCCCATCCCTTCCCTGTTAATTATGTAAGCCGCTGTCTTCGTTGTCAATCCAAAGATTTACGAAATTTGGAGAAAATCGAATGATCGTTAGACAAACTCTGAAGATCAGCATCGTACGATAATGGCTCTCAAACTGTAGGGCATAGCCAGACAATGAGACGCGTGCGAGAAAGAGCGAGTGAGAAGAGGGAGCAGAAAGCACAGAAAGAAATTAAATTATGTTTCAACTAAATAAAAGGGTAAAATTGTATTCCATATAAATATTATAATATATTTACGCGTAAAGTTTAAACATATAAAAAAGTATACATGTGTTTTAAAAATGTTATAAATTTAAAATTAATTAATACCTCTTTATATTTATATTACTCACAAATATTATTTTTATTGGCAATATGGCTTAAGTTTTTTTTCCTGTGTATGAGGAAAAGAAAAACATTCGATGCGATTTATATGACACGCGAATCAACAGCTGATGCTATTGTTATTAAGATAAGTAAGCGGTGTAGTTTTTTTTTATTTTTAATTTTACCATTCCCCTCCATAATTGTTTTCGTTCACGCGTGTGGAGAGAGTGGCTGTTTTTAGCATATTTTTTGATTTGTGATAACGGCAGCGGGCCACGCGTCTCGCTGTGGTCAAGAGGTGAGCGGGATCGGGCTTCCGACTCTTCGATGTGAGGTGTTTCCAAGGCGGCATGGAAAATTTCTTGTCTGGCGATCCGGCAACAAGATTAGGTGGCAAGTGGGCCGATTACCTCTCCAAATTGCAAATTAATACACTCGCGTCGCGCCACTTTTTTTTCCCACAACTCTGGTTACTCATGCGTCGGAGGAGAAGCCTCCACCAAAATCATGAGTGCTCGGTTCTGATAATAGGAGAGGACGTCCGTAAGCACTTGGCCTTGACTGTGACTTGTTGCCAGTCGTCTGATTACGAATTTCGGGCAAAGTTTGGGAGTCACCTCTACTTTCGTTAAAGTTTGGAAAACCGTTATCTCTAAATAGAGGAGGTATCACAATTTCCATAAAGTTGTTTAGCAAACATTTCTACAAATTTACTTTGTGCATATTTAAGAATATGAAGTAATCAAAAATGTTGAATTTTTAAGATTTAGGTTAAATTAAAAAATGGAATTTTAGCTTTCGGTTTAACTTAAAATTAATTATGGCAATCCTTTTCAATCATACAATTTGATTCAATTCGACGTATAAATAATGTTATAAAACGTGATTACCCAGTTATATTACCCATAATTTTCATTAGAGTTATACCAAGATCGAGTCATTGATTTTCGACGGTGTTTTCAATGCGTAGTTGATTTATTTTTGCCTTCTTACTAATTGACAAGAGCGAGTATAAACAAGTATTTCGTTCAAGTGGAATGACATTTCGCGGCAGTTGGCCCAGTCGTCACACCCGAAACAGTCCGAGACAGCCCCACTCACCTACCAATAAGGCCACAGTCACCCCCAAAGGTGAACTTTGATCGGTGCAGACTAGTCAGAGGTTCCAAAATAACCCCGAAAACGTCACGACAAGAGAGCTTTGTTCCCAATGCTTCCTGCTTTCTCTTCGGAAACCGAAATAAATGTGCTTTTATTGCCAGGCTAATTCTTATCGCCTGGCCACAATGATTTACACTCTCCAAACAGACCCTGCTGATTGTCTATACATACAGCAGTAGACGACACCTGTCGTTGGTTTTAGCCCAGTTAGTTTATTATTGTTTTTCTGCCGTGCTAATCCATCTTGACCTCCAAAATGTGCCATGGAAAATGGCTTTCCCCATTTCAGTTTCGTGTCGCAAGTGTTTATATCCGTTTTGAGCGCTGAAATCATTCACGATTTAGCTCAGTCACGATTTTTGTTTACCCGAAAAGCTTGCAAAGCTCTTTGATCAGTTTTACATATCCACATTTCGTGCTAAATTCTAAATTCATTCATTTAATAGCAACAATTAGGGAAGCATTGACAGTGAGTGCTGTTTGTATGCGAACTAAGAGGTCATTAGAAATGTTTAAAAAATTATTCAATTTACTAAGGGACTTGATTGCTCAAAAATTACCTTAATAAATGTTTGGTTTTATTTCTTTTAATAATAATTGCTTTGCAAGGTGCACATTTTAATAGTGCCTAGTGTAGTTAGTCGAAGACTATTAATAGCCTGTTGAATGCTTATTGTACATTCATATAAATATATATAGAATACATATATAAAACATTTGGTCGGTTTATGGCATTGAGTTCTGTTGCCAAGTTCAGAAAAAAAGGGAAAGGCACATAAAGTTCTACAATGTTTCTAATTTAAGAACAATTGCGGTAAAAATGTTATAACTTAATTCTTAGCATACAACTATTTGAACTTAAAAAAAAACATAGTTAATAAATAAATGTTTCAGAGAGATACGACCTTTTTTAGTCCCATTATCTATTGTTTTTTGCAATTGATGTGCGGATGAATTTATGTAAAATAAAAAATATACCAAAACCAGATGACATTAAATTACCATAGCTAAAGCTATTAAGTAATTGTTGAAATTGCAAAGCTATTATTTTTACCTCTGCGAGTATAGATATAGAAAACTTTTAAATTAGGGGGCTATGTTTGAGTGCAGAGAATCGAATTAAGTCTTCGTCGGGGCAATTAGGAAGCCTCGAATTACAGTAAGTGATCCAATTGTGATGGCCGGGGTAATTAGCCCAATTGTGGGGGACACCCGGTACATGGCACTCATTTGCGAACGCCACCGGCGCGTGCTCGATGTAAATACTATAAGCATATACTATAGAATGCAATATGTGTTTCCTCATGGCCGTCTTTCTTTATTTGCAGGGAGGGCAACCACCCCGATGACTATTCCCGGGGCCTCACCTACCGCAAGCTTTTGGAGGAGGTCTGCCGGTTTGCCAACGTGCTGAAGGATCATGGCATCCGCAAGGGTGATCGTGTCTCCATCTACATGCCCATGATCCTGGAGCTGCCCATCGCAATGCTGGCCTGCGCCCGCATCGGCGCCGTGCACTCGATTGTCTTTGCCGGATTCTCACCGGACTCCCTGGCGGAACGGATGTTTGACTGCAAGGCCAAGCTGCTGATTACGGCGGATGGAGCCTGGCGTGGTGAGAAGCCCCTGTACCTGAAGGCCCTGTGCGACACCGCACTGGAGAAGGTGGAGGAGATGGGCCACTCCGTTGAGAAGTGCATCGTGGTATCGCATCTGAAGCGTGTCACTCCCTGCCAACCGGATCATGTGGAGGCGGAGATACCGTGGACCGACGATCGCGACTACTGGTGGCACGAGGAGATGGAGGACAAGGAGCCGGCCTGCTATCCTGAATGGATGGACGCCGAGGACCCGCTGTTCATGCTCTACACTAGCGGCTCCACCGGCAAGCCGAAGGGCGTGCTCCACACCACCGCCGGATACCTGCTGTATGCGGCCACCACCTTTAAGATTGTCTTTGACTACAAGCCAGGTGACATCTACTGGTGCACCGCCGATGTGGGCTGGATCACTGGACACACGTACGTTGTGTACGGACCGCTGGCCAATGGCGCCACTTCAGTGATTGTAAGTGGTCTGATTAGTTGTCTTTAAGGGTCTGGAATTTCCAACTAACCACATTTATTGTCTGTCTTTTGCAGTTCGAGGGCACCCCGTTCTTTCCTGGAAACGATCGTTACTGGAGTGTCATCGATAAGTACAAGGTTACACAGTTCTACACGGCTCCCACGGCCATCCGAGCGCTCATGAAGTACGGCGAGGGACCCGTGCTTAAGCACAACCTGAGCGGACTCAAGTAGGTTCCTTTGGCGAATTTAAATATATAGAACTTTGCCACATATTTTTATATAGCTTACTAACAAGTATCAAAGACAAATTATTCTTTACTTTGACCTCCTTTTCTTATTGTATTTTAATATTATCTTGCAGAGTTTTGGGCAGTGTGGGTGAACCCATTAATCCGGAAGCCTGGCTCTGGTACTACCGATACATTGGCAAGGAGCAATGCTCCATTGTGGATACCTTCTGGCAGACAGAGACCGGTGGTCATGTCATCACACCACTTCCTGGAGCCACACCCATGAAGCCGGGCTCGGCTGTGAGTAATCCTTTTGCTACCAAGCCCGAACTTGAATTAATTTGTTGCCTCTCATTGTGTATTACAGTCATTCCCCTTCTTTGGCGTCAAGCCCACTTTGCTGGATGAGTGTGGTATTGAGATCAAGGGCGAGGGCGAGGGCTATTTGGTGTTCTCACAACCTTGGCCTGGAATGATGCGCACCCTGTATAACAACCATGAGCGCTTCGAGGACACCTATTTCTCCAAGTTCCCTGGCTACTACTGCACTGGCGATGGTGAGTTTGGCTAACGTGTTTTGTGTTAAAAGTACACCAGTTTTAAATGTAAACATTGGTTTAGACTCTCTCTTATATACTAATTGTGTATTACATTTTATTTAAACAGGTGCCCGTCGTGATGCTGATGGCTATCTCTGGATCACCGGCCGCGTGGACGACATGTTGAACGTGTCCGGTCACCTGATGTCCACCGCCGAGGTGGAATCCGTTCTCACGGAGCATCCTCGTGTGGCTGAGTCGGCCGTGGTCTCCCGTCCGCATCCCGTGAAGGGCGAGTGCCTCTACTGCTTTATTACGCCAAATGAGAACGAGGAGTTCGACCAAAAGCTAATTTCGGATCTGAAGAAGATGGTGCGCGAGCGCATAGGACCCTTTGCCATGCCGGATGTCATTCAGAATGCGCCCGGATTGCCCAAGACGCGATCCGGCAAGATTATGCGTCGTGTGCTGCGCAAGATAGCTGTGAATGATCGCAATGTGGGCGACACCTCGACACTGGCCGACGAGCACATTGTGGAGCAGCTGTTCGCCAACAGGCCCGTGGAGACCAAGTAGATGCAATAAGGTATTGCGGCTAAGATCGATACCTTTTCCCCAAGGCTTTCTCCGGCTTGCCACAACGACCACTCTCCGCTCGGCCATCGCATTTTTACGTATTCCTCGGTGTTGCGTAATCCTGTAAATCTCCCCCTACACTTGTAATACACCTACTGCTAAATGTTGGTCCCGTTCCGGGCTACGGCGTGTCTAGCATTAGCCCCTTCTTAACTCTACCTAGTTCGTAAGCCAAGGCGTGTGCGTAAGTAATCGGCCGGCTCCACGTCTGTCTATCTGTTTGTGTTTCTTGCCGCCTGTTCACCGTAGTAGTTGACACGTTCGCTCAGCACGCACACACCACACATTTTTCACAGCTCTTTCGTTTCTTTGTTGTAGTCGTAGCCTAAGTTCTCGCTAATTCGTATTGTGATACAAATTTAATTATATATCTTACTTAATACTTATGTATGTATTTTTAGTAGAATTGATATGAGACAAAATATATACACGATTCCAGTTGTAGCCACAGAATAACACCACAGATCTCATATCCTTTTTGGTTGTATACCCGTAATCCTTTTCGTTTGTAGAATCGATTTCTTATTTTCCAACCAACATTTTCAGGTCTGAGAAGGCGCCCGCACGCACGTAAGTCCGGAACCGATCGGGGACTCGGTTTCCTCCCCTTGTCCCACTAGCCCTTAAGTTTGAGAACGATACATATCAGTGTCAGCATTCCTGCATACGATCTATGCATACATGTTAGGGCGAGATTATCGCTACGATATACTATATACACCGCATATACAATATATTATATATTTATGTTATACGGTCAGAAGACTTACTGCAACGAAACATATCATGAAGTTACTGCGCAAGCCTATGAATATTATATAGAGGATATTATTACTGTTAGAGCTCGTTGTTGTTTTGGGAGACGATCTCGGTATTGAAGTGGTGACGATGAAAATGGAGATGGAGATCATGGAGCTTGGCTGATTAAGGGGGCAGCCGTTCCCCGTCTGATTGTAAAAAGATTATTAGGAAGAAGGCTATTTACATATCTATATATTTATGTATTATGTATGTGTATAAAATAAAGTTTATTGTTTCAATTTGTTGTTTAAACTTGCAAATTTAGAGGATGCTGTGTTAAAAGGGGTTTCCACTTTGCCGCCTTCTTTAAATCAATTTGACACTTTTTGAAAAGGATATCTTCATGCTTACCTTTGGGCAGTTTTTTTTTAACTTTAGTTTTAAGGGTAGCAAAAGGAATTCCCAAGTCTTGAGATTTATAATGATCTTTCATAAGTTTTTAACTTGAAATTATATCACCTCATAAATGTATATATACCGGATCGATTTGGCTTGGTTGTAAACTTCCGAGCTAGGCAGTGACATCTCAGCCTTCGACACACTCGCTCAGTAGACATTCGGCTGAGACTGCGACTTCCTGGTGGCAGAGTGCGGGTGAAACTAGGTCTATACCGGGGTAACGAAAAACAACACAAGGTCAGAATGGCGGACAGAGAGGACTCGAGGAAGGACGCTTCTGCGGAAAAGAACGCCGCCACACGCTTCGGTCTGGAAGATCACGAGGCAAATCAGCAGGATGCACGAGTAACCACATTGAGGTCGGATCACGAACGGCGTTCCTTAATGATGCCGGCGGACGGACGGCGGTACAACAAGTCGACCTCACGGATAATGAGCGTCAACGACGCATGGTCCATCCCCAGGAGTCCTGAGGAGGAGCGAGAGTCCAAGGCCCAGAATGACTCTGATCGCAAGGCCAGTGACAACAACGATACGTTGGTGTTAAATAAGTCCACGTCTAAAGTTCACGAAGCGGAGGTACCCAGTTCGGTTCGCGCCTACGACGCCGATAGCTCTGAAACGGATGCAGAAAGGAAGAGTTCATTTACCCCTGTGGTTACACCGGCATCATTCCCGATGGTGGTGCCAAAGCTAGGGATAACTCCGGAAGGATTATCGGACACCGATGGTGATTACAAAATGCAGCCACCAAAGGAAAGACCAGAGGATCTGCCTATGCCACCGCCCATCATGATGCCAATAACGCCCTGTGAATCCAAAGCTCTGACTGCGGTCGGCAGCGGCGAAGACGTGCAGAGCTCTCTAAGCAAGTTAACCAACACAGATGTGACTTTTAATCCATCTAAGAAGTTCGCCACCAAGGGCACCAACACGTCCGGCACCATGATCGCAGAAAGCGATTCAGAGGACGAGGACACCTTTCTGCCGGAGTCCTTCTCCGCGAGCGATCTTAAGAGTCTATTTCTGCTCGCCTGTCGCGAGGTGAAGTCGGCGGGCGAAATAGCGCGGGCACATGATGAGGAAAAGCAGCAAGACAAAGGTCGGGAGGAGCCTGATCCGGAGAGCCGCACCGAAAGCTTGGTCGAGTCCACATTCATCAATGCCATCAGCTCCAGATTTCCCGATCACATGTATGTTGAACGTGGTTTCTTAATAGATATTTATGTCTTCCGTTCAATAACGATATTTCTCTGTCCGCAGATTCATTACCGGGGAGCGAATTGTCAATTCAGAGTCCGGAATAGTGGACTTGACGGATAAACCCACCTGGATAATTGATCCCATCGACGGGGCCATGAATTACGCCCACCACTTTCCGTACTATTGCATGTCCGTGGCCTATTTGGTGGACAGGCAGACAGAGTTCGGTATTATCTATAACCCGCCCATGAAGAACATGTACACGGCGCAACGGGATAAGGGAGCGAAGTTGAACGGCAAGGGTATAACGGCAACCGCCCAGAAGGACTTGTCCTCATCACTGGTTCTGCAGGAGTTTGGCTCGGGAGCTAACGAACCGCAAGGCCGCATGGGAATGGAAAACGCCCAGCGGTTGGCGAAGGTTGCGCATGCGTAAGTTATTGCGTTGATTTTTGCCACAGGGATTGTCCAGTCAATGATTTCCTTTCAGGATGCGCTCCATTGGCTCCCCTGTCATGGGCCTGGCCATGGTGGCGTCTGGTGTGGCAGATGCCTATTTCAACTTCGGACTGCACATTTGGCACATGGCCGCGGGTGTGCTCCTGGTCACCGAGGCCGGCGGCGCAGTGATAGACCCAGCTGGCGGCGAGCTGGATATTATGTCCCGTCGGTGCTTGGTGGCGTCCACAGACCAACTAGCACAGGACATCGCAGGCCGCTTGGAACAGAGCTACCCGTCGCCTCGCGACGACGAGCCGTGCAAACCGGAAATGCAGGACTTCACCAGCCAGACTGACTTCCCCGACACTGAAAGTTCGGAAGCTGAGACCACCGCACCTAACCACTAAACTGTCCATCAGGAAGTCCAGCTGAAATTAGCCGAGTAAAATTAAATTTAATAAATGGACAATACAGCTGTTTTTAGTCCGGCTACAGACAACAAATATCCCCTTTTTGTAATTCAAATTTGCCAACATTCTTCGTTTTTTTGTTATCTGGCAACGCCATTTGTACCGATGTCTGGCTTTGCAGTCTCTTAAAATAGTTTCGATATCATCGATAGTAATATCGATATTTTTGCACTCCTGAACTGATTTTTAATTAAATTAAAACTTGCAACTTGTGTATTTTTAGCGGTTCATTGCAACGACGATTCACAGAGACAGCACAACACAAAATGGGCGATAGCGTGGACCTGGAGAAGTGCTTCGAAGTGGTCAGCAATCTGGTGTCCGAGGCGGGAAGGGTAAGCAAGCACAGCTGTGGAAAAACACTTGAGGGCTCTAATGGAATTTTCCTTCGTTTGTTTACCTCAGCTGATTGCCCGGAACAATGAGACGCGCCAGGAGTTTGTGTGCAAGAGCAACGACATCGACCTGGTGACGCAGACGGACAAGGATGTAGAGCAACTGCTGATGGACGGCATTCGCCGGCAGTTTCCGGATCACAAGTAAAGAAATCCCGCTCATTGCCGTCTAATCCTTAATGGCCATTATTGGCAGGTTCATTGGCGAAGAGGAGAGCAGTGGAGAGGCTGGTGTCAACAAGCTGACCGATGCCCCAACCTGGATCATCGATCCCGTTGACGGTACTATGAACTTCGTCCACGCCTTTCCGCACTCTTGTATCTCCGTGGGACTGAAGGTGAACAAGGTCACCGAGCTGGGCCTCATCTACAATCCTATGCTGGAGCAGCGTTTTACAGCGCGACGCGGCCACGGCGCCTTTTACAATGGCCGCCGGATCCATGTGAGTGGCCAAAAAGAGCTGGGCAAGGCACTCATCACCAGTGAGTTTGGCACTGCTCGCGACGAGGACAAAATGAAGATCGTGAACGAGAACTTTGAGAAGATGTCAAAGAAGGTGCACGGGTGAGTGTCATTTCGCAAGCAATTTGATTCTAGCTGGCGCGGTTTATTATATATTTCCCTACTTTAGTTTTCGCGTCCTGGGCTCAGCTGCCCTCAACATGGCCATGGTGGCTTTGGGAGCCGCTGATGCTAACTACGAGTTTGGTATCCACGCATGGGATGTGTGTGCTGGCGACTTGATTGTCCGTGAAGCTGGTGGAGTGGTCATAGATCCCGCTGGCGGGGACTTTGACATCATGTCCCGAAGAGTCCTAGCCGCAGCCACACCACAACTGGCGCAGGATATCACCAAAGTGCTGACGCAATTCTACCCGCTACCCCGAGATGACTAAACTGCTGAAATAATTGCGTTTTTTGTGTATTGAACATGCACCCACTTAAGTAATGGCTCTCCATTCCGTACTTAACCGAAGGCATTTGTACCGAGCACCTGTACCTTACGAAGGAAAATGAATATGCTTAATCATGGATATTCCAAATAAAGATTATTGTGGAAAAATACAGAAATGTATGCAAAATAAGAATTGTACCCTTGATAAACAAAAACCATAAAATTTTGTAAAAGATGTTGTGGAATCGAAATAATCTGAGCCTTGGCTATCTCCGGGGAAATGAGTAGTTCTCTAGCCCAGCGTTCTTTATCAAATCATTGAAAGACATTTGTTTGTTTGCTTTGATGTAATTTTATTACAATCTGCGTATGTATTTCTCGCTTTCTAATTAGTTTTCGCAGTGTTCTTGTCGTCTTTTGTTTATATATTCTGTTTTTGCGGCTTAGTGTTATGTATATTGTTTGTTTTTTGCTTGTTGTTCTATTTCTTAGTAAGTTAGTAAAGCGAGCTGGCTGGCCTTGTATATCTGATAATTGTGAATGCCCTGTACTGGGAAGTGGAATGAATGGGCTTGGATTCACCGCAGACAATGGCGGGCTGTAAATGGTTTTAAGGGGGACAGGGGTCCTCGGACCGTTTGGGTTTTACAGGGCATTGCAAGGTCGACTGAGCCGACTGTTTTGGGGGAGTGTTTTATGGGGCTTGGTAACAACATCTAAGCAATGTCTTGCATATTGTTATATGATTAGTGTGTGTATCTGGCCGATTTTGCACTGTATTCGAGTAGAGCAGAGATAACAAGCCATGATCGTAGGAAGTCGGCCTTCTCAGGGGAGTGAGCTGCTGTAGTTAGCTGTGTATTTTGGACTATCGTAATACCATTTTTAAAATTTGACACATCATTTGAAAAATGTAATCAAAGCTACAGTAGGTAAAAAATTGTATCTATATATTTATTATATATATATATATATATATATATATATATTAGATGTATGTATGTATATAATAGTTTAGGTTTAAGTTAATAATGTAATTAAAAATCTGTTTGTTTCTGGTTTGTTGTCGTTTTAATGCTACATTCACAAGGTTCCATTATGCGCACTGGTTTACAAAATTAACACAGAGATTTGTTGGGGTTTGTGCTTGGATCGAAATAATAGTTTGTGGATCTGAAGGGGGTTTGGGTGAGAGGGAACATAGCAAGTGTTTTGGTTTTTTTTTTTCTAAGATATTGCGAATCGTAGTCTACAAATTGATGTATATAGATCTATATATTGATTTCGATATTCTAATTCAATAAGCGAAAGGTACACATGGAGCATAAAACGGCAGTCGCGATTCTCTCGGGATCTTTTTATGATCCTGGTCTGGACCGCAGCTGCCTCTCTCTACATTTAATATTTTCCTTTGTCACACTAATAAAATTTACAAAAATTGTCTATATAAATTCAACAATCAATGAAGAGCTTTAGAGAAGAATCCATTTTGATTTTTACATACATGTATTTGATATATAGATAGATTTAAATATATATATATGTTTATGTATATTAAGGTATATCATTGTTCGTCTGTCTGGCTGTCTTGTCTGTCGTCTTCCATGTAAACTTAACACACAAATTTAGCACCAATCCATTCAAAAATTGATCAAACAATCTGATTGTTCCGAGTTATACAAATGAAGCCTTAAAGCACTTAACTTAGATGGTGGCGGTGTCTAACCCAAGGGCTTAAATATATGATCTTAAGCGAAAAACTGAACACTTTCTGAATGAGAAGGATCCGGGGTTCGGAATCCTTCGGGGAGATGGATGAGGGGAAGCTTTAAAAAATAATCAAGTCGCAGCGAGTTAATGTTAAAAATTAATTTAAATTTATTTACACGCAGATACAATAAACGCATCGATCTTCAATTCGAAAGGATTTAAACTAAGGCGTAGAATTATCATGTTGCATATATGTATGTATATATGTTATGTCGTATCGTATGGGATCTCCAACTTTTGCAAGCAAACGAAAGGGGTCTTTTTGCTCTTCTCGACTACACTAAATCCGTATCTCTAGATGTAACGTACACATATATCCGATATCGTTTATAGTAGTTAATAATAATATTTAAAAAACCAGTATTTATCGAACTTTAACGCTCGCTCTTCAGTCGAGTTCTGAATAGATGCCTTGGATAGCTGGCCAATGATGAGTGGGGATGGATGCGGCTTTCATTCTTCTCCCTTTCTCTCTTTTATCCTTAATTTTGCCTGGCTGTGCTCGGAAGGATGTTGGGATGGGGCGAAGGTGATGCGGTGATGTTCGGTGTGGAGCTTGATGAGTCAACAATGAAATAAATAATTTATGTTTGCGCATGGATATGTTCAGCGGGGGAGTTCGAAGCTCGAACGCTCCAGCACTGCTGCGAGTAGTGATGGGCGAGTAGTAGTGGGCTTAGTGAACTATCTCCAGTAATGCTGAGTAGACGTGTATCTGATCTCCTGTCCCTCCTCTCTACATGCTACGTTGCTTAAGCCTACAAGTGGTTGAATATTGTTTGTTGCGGTTGCTTTGCACGGCCCTGGGGATCTCCACCCATCTCCCCCATCCTACAGCTCGTCGTCGGCCTTCGGGATGTCGAAGATCTCGGCGAAGAGGGGTGGCAGGCGCAGCTTGGTCCAGCAAGTCCGCAGCCAGTCCAGATGTGAGAAGTGCTTGGCTCCCAGCGACCGCAGCTCCGGTATCTTCGCCTCCAGCGCCGGCATCAGTTGCAGCGCCTGCGGTGAGCCGGCCCTTGAGCGCAGGATCTGGACGCGCAACGCCTCGGCCACCAGCTCCCTAGCCCGTCCGATCACCTTTGGCTCGCTGAGTCCCGCCCTGTCGGAGGCCAGCAGCACCATGGCCGAGAAGAGGCCGATTTCGGTGTCACTCAGACCGTACACATTCAGGGTATTGGCAAAGTTCAGCAGGGCGTTCACAAAGTCCGACTGCAAGGTTGAGATTATTGAAAAATATAAAATTATTGATTGAATTCCCATAAATAAATGTGTCATCCACTCACATCGTAGAGTATCTCCAGTTGCTGGCGCGTCAGGTAGGCTCCGTCGTCCAGCGTGAGTGTCGCCTCGTTAATCAGACGGGCCACGTGCGTCAGCCAGACCTCGAAGAAGCCCAGCTTGATGAGTATGAGCTGGTCGTCTTGGGTGAAATCACAGAAGCCAGGTACGCGTTTCGCAAACTCCACAATCCGCTGCACGCCGGGCGTAACTCTGGCCGAGAATTGCTGCCACAGCCAGATCTTCTGGAACTCTAGGCTCTCTGCCACCGAATTGGCGATCTGTGGGGGAGGAAGTTAATTCATTAAGTGACTTGAAACTGGAGAAAAGCATTAATGGTTTTAAGATCTATACTTACGCCATTCTGTGGCACTGTAACCGGTCGCCGCATCAGATCCCGGGTCAGCTCCTCCGTGTAGGAGCAGTTCAAGCGATGGGCCTGCGACACGCACATGATCACATCGTAGACGGTTAACTCGTTGGCGGTGCCCGCCAGTCCGTCGTGGCACATGCCCACCTGATGGTGGTGGCCCCCGACCTCTGTGTTGTGCTGCACCATGCTGCTGCCCACCAGTTGCTGGTGACCACCGACGACTACGACGCCTACGCTTACGCCGCTGCCGCCGCTGGCATTCAGGCCGCCGATGCCGCTGGAGGCAACGCCGCCGCTACTGTTATTATTGTTATTATTGGCACTATTGCAACCGCCGAGCTCCGAGGGTGAGGAGGCGATCGAACACATTTGTGGCGTTTGTGGAGTACTCGGTGTCTTCACTCGAACACCGCTCACATGCGGTTGCTGTTGGTTCTGCTGTTGCTGCTGCTGTTGTTGCTGTTGATGTTGCTGTTGATGTTGCTGCTGTTGCAGGAGATGTTGCTGCTGCTGTTGAAGCTGATTTGGGTGCAGTGTTGTCCCAGGAGTGTCATCCACATTGAGCGAGGATGGGGCGCCAGCGGCAGCGGAGGCGGCGGCTGCTCCGTTCAGCTCACGGGAACGCTTGGGAACGCGACCATAACGCACAGCTGCAATGGGTTAAAAAGAAAGGGTTTATTAGTTAATGAAAATATGTTAAATAAAATAATGTACAGTTAAAATAAGGTTACCAAAAGACATTTCTAAAAGACTTTTTGTTACCAGTTTTCTTTACTTAATTATATAGTTTTTCTGGTGATGAATCTATCAAGCTATGCGTAATATACATATATTTTATATCCTTTTAAAAAATGTAAACTCCTATTTTGTCATACTTCAACCTATTTATAAATTTAAAATATATCTCCTAACTGCATTAGAAAATAAATGAAAAGACTAAAAAGGAAACGTATGCATTCATTTCCGCCCAGATTTCGCTCGCCAGCCGGAAAGTATGCCACAAAAAGGAAGTTGAATTTGACATTTCATGTGAATTTTTCAACATGGAAAAATTATAATCTTGAAGCCATAAAAATAGTGCGTATTTTGCGTTTTGTTTTGCATTTTGTTTATTATTAGTCACTCGACTATTTAAATTCATAAAATTCGTTCACTACAAAACAGCCAATTAACTTAGAGGAGCACGTTGCGTAGCGTATAGCGAATGATCTATACTCGCGTTTAGTCGGGAAAGTGGAAAATCTGGCACACGCATAAATCTTACAAATGCGTCACACACTTGCGGACACACTCGGGTATCTATCGCTGGCTGGCTTTTCTTTGTAGCAAATTGCCAACATTTCTGTGCTATCAACTAGAAAATTGTGTGTGTCCGTGTCCTGTCCTACAAGTTGTTGTTCGTGGTCGGCCTGTCGAAATGCGATATGCATGCTGTCGCAGCGAAATAATTCAATTTTCCTGCTTGTCGTTTGAAGTGCTCATTAGCCAGAGGTTTTTTCGGCAGTTTCGCAATTTGCGCATTTTCGCCCTCACAATTCTGGCTGCCTTTCGGCGGCTTTTCAGCTTTTCAGTCTGCGTGAATTGCACATTGTGAAATTTTTGCTTTGTGCAACCGAGCACTATACATATTTTATTAATTAAAATCGCATTTGGCTGCCCAAGAGAAGCAGACAAACTGCTCCAGTTGCCGGCTTTCAGCGCTCACTTTATCAGTGGGACATTGACCCACTGCGCTCAATATGGAGGCAAAAGCGGCAGCAAGTGATTTCGTTTTTCCTCCTCATGCCATACATGTCTTACACACTTGAGGCCAAGATTATAGCATCTATTAATAGGACAAAATTAATAGGAAATCTTAGCTACATAGCTACTTAGGTTAGGGTTAATAAAATATATGTTCATCTTGTGTTTTAAATATGAATATATTCTGCTAGCTTTTAAATTTCATCTCCAGAAATACTTTTCTCTCTATAAAAATAATTATAGTATGATGATGAATAAAACATTTCAATATGTCTTACATGATTCCAGAACCCTTAACTAAATCCCAAACAATATAAATTAAATTTCACATATTTTTATGTATTATATAACTGCTAATGTCTCAACCTCTGCTGTTTTGTGTTGATGTACGGCTATTTTGTCTTCGGCGGCTACTTCTGCCGCCGGCGATTTCCAAACAAAACCGACACAATAACAACACTAATGACGACTGCCGCCTCCTCTTACTATGCGTCAGCGTTTCAGGCTGACAACATCGTAAAATCGTTAAGTAAAAATATAAACCAAAAGTGAAAGAAACTTCGCATGCATTGCGCATACGCAGCGTTGGCCGGAAAAACTTTTGTGCACGCAAAGCATCAAAATCAACATCAGCCAGCAGCCAGCAGCAGCTGGCCAAGTGAAAGATGGCCAACATACTGACCCATTTATGGCACACCATTATACCGATGGATCACCGCAGCTGCTGCTGCCTGAGGGTCAGAAAGGTCATTTGCACTACACAGAGGGAAATCCAGGGGGATTACTATAATAATTTTGACATTGAAAATAATTTAATAATACATTCATGCTAAAATGTGAATACTTTTAAATGTAAATTAGTTTACTATTACTGTAAAGTAATTCAAAAAACTCCAAAAATAAATCTTTGTCATTAGTGTAAATAAACTCTACAAACTATGACTGCTTCTAGGAATATTTTTTTTAGACTATGTCAGGAATAATTACTTTGCTTTAGCCACTAATTAAAGCTTTAAATCATCATGAGTTATTCCACGATATATTAAGAAAACCTTCTCTATAGAGATATACGCAAGCTGGCTTCTCATGTGGAATGCCAGAATGGCTGACCCACTTATTTTGCCAGCTATTAAAGTCACCGGAGAGGTGCGGGAGCTTCCCCTGACCTTAGATGGGCGGCAGCATAATCGCATTATGGTCGCCTCCAGACGAGGTTCCAGCCTTGTCACGCTCCCAAGCCGGGGTTCTCATTGTGCCTCCGCTCTCCAAGTCACGCTCATCACCGCCCACCGAAAGAGCCGCGGCTCATAAAACGTCGTCTCGGTGGCGTTAATTGTCACAGCTCGTAAATTAATTATGGCATAATTCGCACACATACACACACGTGGGCAATATGGGGGGTATATAGTCTATGGAGTGCATAAGGGGTGTATATGGGGGTGGGAGTGTGCTTGGACATTGGTTTTTGAGGCTGCCACCTTCGATGCCGCTAATTGCTCGTGGCGGGCACTTTTCGTTCTTGCTCTGTTTGTTCTAAGGTGTTTTCAATTAGCAACCAATGGAGGAGGATTCCACTTTGCTATTTCATTATTGATTTTGCAGATTTCACCGCTGAGAATCCGGTCATCTCCGGCGGGAGGGAAGTGGAGCACAGCACAGCACAGAGTGAAGTGAAGTGCCCATCATGGCGGAATTGGGAGCAGCTAGAAATGGCCCCAGCATAATCCCCCGTCATTACTTATTCAATCGACCTGGACCCAGGGCCTGTCACCTGTCACCACCCACGGAGGTAGCTCGTTCCTTGCCCCATTCAGAGCAGGTCAACACCATCCATTACACACCAGCCAAGCCAAGCCATGCGATGCCATGCAGGCCATCCAGGCCAGGCCTTTCCGGGGAGCCCACATAAATAAGCGGAGCGTTGCTGGCCTAAGCTGCAACTTTTTTTTCCCAGCTAAAAGCATCTTAAGTGATTTAGTGCAGCCAAATGATGAGAGAGGAGTGGGGAGTGGGGCGGAAAACTCGTTTGGGCCAGATTCACAGGCAGCAGAGGAGCACTCGGAAAAATACTCCATCGTAACTAGGATTTTTCTTTCAATAATGTATTTTATGTACTCTAATTAACCAAGTTTTGTTTCTTTTTGTTCTATTTGAACTTACTTTAAAAGTTTTATATATAATAAGTGAATTTTCCTTTAGTTTTCCTTAGTGCACAAAGTGGGGGAGCTCCCACTTTTGGCCAGGGCAAAAAAAGGATTTGGGTCACCGAAATCTGAGGCAGCATCGCAGGGCAGCGTCAGCCGTAAAGTGGCCAAATGTGGCCCGCATTTAGACGGTTTTTTTCTACCTCCCCCGCTCCACACACAATTTGGTGGTGGTCTTTCGTCGCTTTTTTGGACCGGGATTGGGCCAGACCATTAGCATGCGGAGAGGGCCAAAATCCAACAACTGGCAAAGCCAAAGCTCCAGCGACATGCCAGCGAGCAAGCCAAAGAACCACCTTACGGATGTATACATAATATATAGTTGATATTTTTTTCGGCTTTATCGTGCGCATGAATGGCCCCCGTGCCCCCTCATATATCCCCGACCATGGCATATCCCCCTGCTCTCTGACCTCGTTTGAGGTCGTTCGTTCACCTGTCGCTGCTGCCGCTGCTGCTGCTGCCTCTGCTGGCTGCACTTTGTGCACACACTACTATACACACTCTTCACTCTTTACTCTACATTTGCATGGCTGCCCGGGGTGTGCGAGTGTGCCGGTGTGTACCTTTGTGTGTTTGCGTTTACCCAGTTACGAAATTGTCCAAAATGCTGCGGCTTACTGCCACTGCCGGGTGAAAGTTTCTTGTTTGTTTGCCATTCGACAGAGCGAAATGCCAAAAGACCCCATTTCAGATACTCTTACATCGTAAAAATAAAACAAAATTTAAATTAATAATAAGCTAATGTTGGATCTATGTTTATGAGGCGACGTTTTAATATGTTTTGTGACATAATCAGAATAGAGTACGAGAAGGTTGTAGCAATTTTCTATCAGAAATATGTGAATCTCAAAATCAACATCTACATCTGTTAGCTTTGAATTAATGGTTCAGTAAGCTTAAAAATTATTTCATCTTTATTAATATTTAAGTGTTAATAAAATGAATAAGGTTTGTCTCTAAGCTATAGGGATATTACCACTGAGTATTGTCAGTTTTCTTGTTTTTATGAAATATTATTTTAAAATATTTGAAAGTAATTGAAAGCTTGAAAGCTGTAGTATAGATAAGATTCAAGATGATACATTGTAGAACACAACTTGTTTTATTTTGTAAATAAAACAGTCGAAAATATGCATTTAGTTATTAAACATTTTAGTCTTTTGAGGGAAGTAACTCCTTAAAAGTTAGGCCAATGTTTAACCCGAATTTCCCTGAAAAACAAAAGGAGAAATGCATGCAATTTTCGTGGCGTGTAAGAGACTAAACATTACTGTGACGCTTCTTTTGTTTGTTTTTTTTTTGTTTTACTTTTTTTTTATATACACATGCACCTGGGTGTGCCCGTCAAAGTGTGTGTGTATGTGTGTGTGTGCTTCACTCTATCTGGAACAGCTAAAATTGTTAGTTGCGTGCTAAATTTGTTGCTTTCTGCCAGCAACAGCAGCAGCAACAACAGCAATTCGCATTCAGCAACCGCCCACTCACTCTCGGCAACAACCACAACAAATAGCAGCTAACAACACCAACAACATCACCAATAACAACACCAACAACAACACCAACAACACCAACAATCACAACAACAAGCAACTGCAACAACTATAAAAATTGTGTCAAGCAATTTGCGTAAATTATCGCCATGCCGTTCAATTTTGCTAGCTTTTGCCTATTCGCTGCCTATTCATGAGGACAATTGCAGT